TTTATTATTATTTTTATTTTATGTGTATGCGTGTATTGCCTGCATGTAGGTAAGTGCACCCATGTCGTGCAATGCCCACGGAAGTCAGAAGAGGCTGTTGGATCCCCTGGGACTGGAGTTAGGGACAGTTGTTAGCTGCCATGTGGGAGCTGGGATTCAAACCCGGGTCTTCAGCAAGAACAACCAGTGTTCTTAACTGCTAAGCCATCTCTCCAGCCCCCTCCTTAGCTATCGTCACAACAAATCCATTCGCCATCAGATAGGATTCCTCAGGCATGCACACACACACACGCAGAGTCATACAAACTCTGTGAGCCCCTGTAACCTCAGAAGATGGCAAATTCCTGTCACAGCCCCATAGCAATCCTTGTCTTGCCTATCATAAACTTGCCTCCAAACCTCGCTTTAAGGATGGAATGAAAGCTTTCCCTGAGAGCCCACTCTAGCCCCACACATGTGTTTCCTGTTGATGTCACGTCTACTTTTTGGGAAGGGATTATACCTATTTTATAGGCAAGCAGTAAGAGGTCCAGAGGAGCTATAGGGTTTGTTCAGGTCTAGTCACTCCTCTGTTAGAGCAAGGTTTTAGGAAAGCTGGAACTGTCTTCGAAGCTCATCCTCTGCTGCCTCTCAGCAGGGAGTGAATGTGCCAGGGTGGGACCTGGCATCAGAAATGTCTGGAGCCTTAGGGGTCATTTGGTGTATCTCATGTTACAGAAAAGGAAACTGGTCCGTTCTAAGGGCACTTCTAAACGTTTTTCCAAGTCCCTGACTAATGGCTCACCTGCCTCAGGCCCTGCCCACACTGCTCTCCTTCTAGTGAGCCAATGAACCCTGCCCACCACAGGCATCCTTGCCCTGAGTACTTACTGAACTGCCAGCGGCATACTACATTTCTCGCCTTGGCCTCGGTGCAGACCAGCCAGCTCCATGACCTCCACCACATTGACGAAAGTTCTGGGAAGCTACAGAGAGCAGAGGGGTGGGCTTCATGAGTCCAGGGTAGTTGTGAAGTTGACAGGAGCTGACAGCTGACTGACAGAAGTCTAGAGGACAGTTTCCAGTCCAACCCCAATGTTACCACAGAAGAAATGGATGCCCAGAGAGAGATGCAATTTGCATGATCTCATTGACTGTTCTTTAATGCCTCACTTCATTAAGCGGAAAGCTGAGACCAGAGAAATCCCACAGCTACTAAAACCACAGTGCCTTCCTACAAACTCAGGCCAGCTGGCTCGAGGAAGCTCTTTGCTATGCCACAAACCAGTTTCTGAGCCAGCTAGAACTTCTACAGAGGGACTGGGAGCCTCCACTTATGTGGCCAGTCATGGGGCCTCAACTCAGGGGCCTCAACTCAGGGTGCATCTCCATCAAACACAACATGCCTAGATACACCCATGGAGGGACTCCCCTCCCACAGCAGTAGTGGATAAGCAGTTTTCTGGTAGAATCAGGGAATGGACTGCTACTGGTTCCTACCTCCTCATAGAGTATGTCCAGAGCCTGCCTGATGTGCTCCACATATTCCTCCGCAGAGTGGTTCTCCTGTGAAGGGAAAAGGAGGCTCTCTTCAGTCCTTGCTCTCTATTCTGACAGGATCTAAGAGCACAGGAGGGCCTTACTGATGGTAGAGGAGGTTGCAGAGGGCTTTGGTGGTCCTGGCTAAGCTGGGAAGCCCAGTCTTTGTTAATGCTTGGCCTGTAGTCCCTGTAGGAGGACCTCCCTTGGCCACTAGCAGACACCAGGAACAATTCCCACCAGTGCTCTGCTCTACGTGATTGTAAGCCCAAACACAGACAGTATGGAGCAGGCCATCTCCAGCCCCATTGCAACCTATTCTCAGCCTCATCTAGCCACTTACAGGGCTCCCATTATCACATCCTCTCTTTTCTCTGGGTTTTGGCCCACGCAGGTCCCACTCCTGGAACCTTTGTTTTCCTATAACGTTCTAATGTATGTGCCTTATGACTCAGACTATGGCTCTCCGGGCTATCATGTATCCGCTGGACTGAATGTTGATGGGGCACATAACAAATGCTCAGTAAATGCTTGCTTTGCTTTATATATAGTACAGTATTGTATTTGGATGTGGATCTGAGCTCCTTAGAGGATGTCAGAGGAGACTGATATCAGAGGGAAGATGGTGTTCAATGCTCTTATGCTAAATGTTGAAGAGCTCCTGTCTACAGGAGAGGTGCCCTGGGTTGCTGTACTAGACACTCAGGCAGGTGGGTGCTCAGGCAGCACATTAATTTTTTGTTCAAACAAACAGCTATGGCTGATAGCAGGAGAGATGGCCCAGTGGGTAAAGGTGCTTCCTGCCAATCCTGATGACTTAAGCTAACCCCCCTCTAAAGCTGCCAGAAAGCATGCTGAGAATTGAGGTGGTGGGGTGAGGGCAAGAAGGTAGATGTTCCTGCTAAGAAGCAGAAACTGAGGGGCTCCTGTCCCCAAGAGCCCAGCCTTCCTGTGTTCCTCAAACTTGGCTTGAGTGACTGGATATTGTCCCTTTGCATAAAAAACATGCTCTCAGGAGTAGAGACCAAACTGTTTGCATAAGGGGTAGGTATCCTGGGTTGCAGAGGACATTTCCCCATACCATGTGTCCACAGGCAGCTCTGGGTTACCTCTGGTTTTCAATGAGCCCTATAGTCCAGGACCCAGCAATATTGAATTCCCCAGGGATTAGATCATTCTTGCCCCCTGAATCTGAGCAGTGAGGGAGAAGATAGAAGGAAAAGACTTGGAAGAGCTGACCCTGTGTGGGGGAAGATAATCACACCAACCCCTTGACAGTTGCCCTCTGTGAGCCACTGGGAACCATGAGTCATCCAGTCCCATCCTCCTGTGGCCCCACCCCCAACAGTGACTGTCAAACACATTCTACCACCACAACTTCAGAGTCTTGGCAGCTGCCTTTTCCTGGCCAATAAAATACAGGATGTCCCCAACTTAGAACAAGATGTATTCTAAAAGTTACCGTTTCTCAAAGTTTGTAAATCTGGACATGTTTCCCCATAGAAACAGCATTCGGAATGGGGGCAGGCTCCCAGGCCTGCTGGCTGGGGTTGGTTAACTCGTGATGGCCCTGAAGGGCAGCAAGGACACTATCAAGACTGATTTTTTTTTTAATAACTCCATTTAGAAGATTATGCTGCCTTGCCCTCCAAGATAGGGCAGGGACTACAGGCAGGCAGGGGATGGAGAATTGCTAGCCACCTACTGGTACTAGAGAGTGCTAGCTGCATGTCCCAAAGAGATCAACCACCTCAGAGCCTGAGGATCAGGTCCTTCTAGATCTTTCTTCTGGAGTTGGGCGGCTACTCAGGAAAAGTTAAACCTCACCTGCTCTTTGAACCAGGAACTTCCTGGGTAGATTCTGGTGCCTGAAACATAAGTCCTTTGTGGGAGAGGCATGAAGCAGGGAAGTCAGGGCCCTCACAAATAACAGAGGTCAGCAACTGTATTCTCAGGCCCCTAGTGGGGCTGCTCAGGGACCTACCGAATTCTCCTCGCAGTACTGACACAAGTCATTGCCCCCAATAAAGATTGTGATCAGTTTCCAGTCTTTGTCCAGCTTGATTTCCTGAGGGGATAAGATCCTGAGTTTAGGGTTTGGGGACAAGGCCATCCATTCAGCTCTTCAGGTGCCTTTCACCCCCTCTGTCACCACAGAGAAAGTATGATCTGGGGTCACCTCCCCTGGAATTAGTGTGTGTGAGTAGGGGAGGGGGCATCTGTCACACAGAGGAGTCAGGCTACTTTCCCCCTGAATCCTCTTAAAGTATCAAACCACAAAGTAGAGTGGATGTGCCCTACATTTCCCAAGCCCATGAAGGGCCTCATGGATTATCACCCTATCCAAATGTGATCTGAGGTGTTCAAAGGAGTCTGTGTTAAAATAGATAAAAGACAAAGTCAGGGCTCTTAGGGCTTCAGTTCAAGGAGGGAGAACTGGAAGGAAAGTACTGCCGGGTGAGCAAGGTGGGACAGGGCCAGGGAAGCCTTGGGCTATGGCTTCCCACTCAGCTACCACCATGAGAATCCCATCAGGAACTCCAGTATACAGCATAAGAACAAAACACTAAAAAAAGTGCAAGTGAGAAGCTTTACAGGGGCTGGTGAGGGTGAAGGAGGAAGGATTGGAATGGACGGCCTATTTTTAGCATTTGTGTTTATATAAGATGGCTTTGGAAAGCCAACTTTTGGATAAAGGGCCCAAGGCCTGTGATCTTGGCCAACTCCCTGTTCCACCTTGCCCTTCGGCAGCCAGCCCTGGGGCAGGGTGCCAGGCAGAGTCCCTGTGAACTCCCTGGAAGACCAGCTGAAGGCAAGCTGCCGGAGAACAGAGGGCCTCCCAGGCCCTGTACCTCCCCAGCTAAGGAAACAGAGCCCCTTTCAAGGGTAGCCCCAGGGCCTGTACTCACAGGTCTGTTTTTCATCCTCTCCACCAGGGCCCGGGCCTGGGCTGGCATGTCCCTAGGCAGAAAACAGTGAAGACACAGTTGGAGTTATTCAGGAGTGAGGGGTTACACTGGGGATTTGGAACTTGACAGAGGAGAGCTTCAGGAAGAATAACTCCACAAAGGTTATTCTTTGGAATGAATCTTTGGGTTTTTGCTTTGCAAAATCCTCAGGCTCTGTCTTATCAGAGAACAGCCAGGGAGCCTGCTACCTCATGGTCTGTGTCTACCCACCCCTTGTGGTAGGACTGGCGTCTTATTGGCTTCTTGTATTGGGCAACATTCCACCATTTTCCCTGCTATTTAATCAAGCTTTTCCACCAAGAGTTGAGCCTCGGTGATTCTCAGTTGCCTGTTTTAAAAAATAATGTTTTGTATATTTGAAAAAAGTCATAGCCCTAAATCAGCTTTCTCCCTTCCAGGTTTGATGGCTTCTTTGATCCCTTTGTTCTTCTTGGTAGTTATTTGGATTTTGACACTATTCTTTCTGCACTGCCCCCCTCCTGAGAAGGATTAGGACTCCTCTTGCCTTCCAGTTGTTTGCCATAAAACAACACTCTTAGGTTCTGGATACTTGATTGTGTATGGCAATGGAATAGCACTCGGCAATGAAAAGGAATGGAGCATTGCTACACCTAACAGCATGGATGACCCTCAAGATAATTCAGATTACTTATGGTGATGGAAGCCAGGTTAGTAGTTGCCTTGGTTCTGGGGAGGGGTCAGAGATAGAGCAGGACAGAGGACAAGATTATAGTAGGCACAGGGAAACTTCTATGGGTGATGGACATGCTCATTGCTTGATGGTGGTAATGGCTCCACACATGTGTCAAGACTTACCAAATTGTATAGTTTTTAGTATGTGCAGTTTATTGTAGGTCAGTTACACCTCAATAAAGCTGTTTCTTTAGAAAGACATGTATAGAGCCTGATGTGGTGGTGCACATCTGTGATCCCAGTGCTTGAGAAATAGAGGCAGGAGACTCACGAGTTCAAGGCTAGCCTTGGCTATATAGTAAGGTAGAGGCTAACTTGGTCTACCTGAGACCCCACCTCAAAACTTTCTGAGAAGTAAACAAAGGGTACACAGCCAGGCAATCTAAGCATCATCCATGGAAGAAGCTGGTGCAGATGGTTATAGTCTGTGTGTGGACACGACGAGTGGGCGCTGGCCAGCACACATGACACCATCCCCACCTTACTTCTCATTAAGAACTTATGCATCTAGGATCATACTAACAGGCACAGACACTATAAAGCAAGTTTGTCCTGGTTAAAGGTAACCACAGAAGTGCCTAAAATTTTTAGTAGGTCTATGTGAGGCTCAAGAGAACCCATGGTGATAAGGTCTTAAGAGTTGTTGGGGAAGAAACTCCTCCTTCCTCCCTCTCCCTAGCCAGCTACTCCCCACTCCCAAGGCCTTAATCGTGGCCTGCTTTTCCGGCTTCCTGATCGGCCTTTCTTTCCTCATAACTCCACAGTGTCTCTGTTTTGTTTCCCTTTCATTCCTAGGCCCTTTCCTCTCCCTGTAGTTCTCCTGAGCTTGCACAGGAGGCCAACTCCTTCAGGAGGTGACACTTCCTCTTGCAAAGGACCAAGCTGGGCTAAGGAATCTTGCTGATTTTCATTTGTTCTACCAGTCCAGGCCTAGAAGAGTAAGTTCTTACATTGTTCTGTCTTCCTAACTATGACATGAGTGTCAAATTATTTCAGTCTGCAGTGAAACCATAGACAACACTGCCTTTTCCCCAAATTTTGTTCTTCATCTAGTTTCCTTAACTAAACTAATTCTTCGAGAGCAAGGAGTTCGCCTTTTGATTCTACAATATCACTTAGTAATGACTTGGGGGATAACCAGTCCTTTCAGGTATTGAATGCATTTTTATTTGTTGATTAATAGAAGGGAAGTTGGCTGTTGAGTCAAACTTTGAAACTAAATAGTCCAGGAATGGCAAACTTGTGTGTGTATGCATGGGTACTGTATACACCATAGCAAATTCTTTCCAAGGATTATTATCTCCTTTAATCCTGTGACAAGCCTGAGAGTCAGGTTCTATTACTACTACTACTACTACTACTACTACTACTACTACTACTACTTCTTTGGTCTTTTTGAGACAGGGTCTCCCTGTAGCCCCAGCTGGAACTTGCTATGTAGACCAGGCTAGCCTCAAACTTACAGAGATTCGCCAAGACAGGTATTATTATTATCCCCACTATAGAGGATGACGAAAAAGGGATACTAAGCAACTTGGCCACACAGCTAACAATCTCTGAATGAAGATGGGACACAGAAGCTCTGATTTCTGGACTTTCTGTGCTCTGATACACTATTTCTCTCTCTTCAGGTGACCTCACACTTATTCACACTACAGATGACAGAGTGGAGATAAAGCCATAGAGCAGTTCTCAAACCTTATTTAAACAAATGACTTAATTTTGCTTCCCCAGTTCTGGGCATGAGTGATGTCTGCAGGTGTCGGCTACCTCTCATACCACTGACTCCTCTTTGGTGGAGAGGCTAAGTAAGGCAGTAAAAGAAGGAAAGGGAGAAGAGAAAGGAAAAGTAAAAGAAGGGAAAGGTGGGCCAGGGAGATGACTCAATGGGTAAAGTGCTGGCTGTACAAGCACGAGGACCTGAGTTCAGATCCTCAGCACCCATGTAAAAAGTCAGGCGCAGCAGTGCACATCTGTAATCTCAGCCCAGAGGAGGCAGAGACAAGTGAATCCCTGAGTTCACTAGCCAGCCAGCCTAGCCCAATTAGCGAGCTCCAGGTTCAGAGAGATCATGTCTCAAAAAATAAGGCAGAGAGGGTTGGCAAGATGGCTAGGTGGCTTGTTACACACGAACTTGACAACTTGAGTCTGTTCCCTAGAACCCACAGTAGAAGGAGAAAACTGACACCTGAAAGTTGTCCTCTGACCTTCACAAACTCCTCCCTCCCAGAACACACACACACACACATTATGGGGCTGGAGAGATGCTTCAGTGGTGAAGAGTGCAGTGCTTGTTGGGACTAGAGTTCAGTTCCCAGAATGCATTTTGGGTACCAGATAACCATCTGTAGCTCCGACTCCAGGAGATCTGACACCCTCTTCTGGCCTCTGTGGGCACTCACACATATGTGTGCACTGACATATATGTATATAAATAAAAAAATTTTTTTAAAATAAAGTGGAGAGCTATTGAGAAAACACGTGACATCAATTTCTGGCCTCCACATGCATAAACATGTACATGTATCTAAATGCACACACTGACATGCACATATCCATGCAGCACACATACATACACCATCACACACATAAGAGAGAGGAAAGTGGTTTGCTCAAGTGCCAACAGACTGAGGAACTCATTCACAGTGAACAAAGCCTAATATTGATGATATTAATCAAGACAGTAGCCAGGTACTGAATAACGGCCCAGGAAGCCTAGTCCTTCCTCTTGTGACACAGGAACTATCAACACTTCCTATGTCTCCAACATTCAAGCAGAGCCTGGGGCCCAGGTTAGGCTTCTGAAAGGAATGTTCTCTGTAAGCAGAGTGAGTCAAGCCTGTGCTGTCTCCCTGGTGACATGAACACAGCAATCTTCCCACAAAGCAAATACCCAGCATACTCTGTGCAGGAAATCAGTGAGCCCGGTCAGGCATTTCAGCTTTAATTATCTGGGTTGTTGTCAATAACAGAGATAACAGTGAAAACAAAACACCACCGTGCTATTTGGAGGGCCATGACATCTAATTCTCTAGTGTCAAAATACAGCTTCTTCAAAGATTTGAGGATCTGAGGCCAGGAGAGCTGCATGTCTCATGAGGCCAAGTGCCTCCCTACACAGGTGACTTGTGTTCCAGATGTAAAGAAGGGGTGGAACTGTGGTCAGCACAGGCAGCCCCTGCTGGGGTCAAAATGAATGGGCTCTTCCTGCTGTCCTGGAGAGGCCTAATGGTACAATGGTCAGAGCTATATTCTGGAATGGTCTGATCCTGGTTTTTTCCTGATGACTTGCTGGATGACTGGGGCAGTTTAAGAAATGTTCTAAGCCTCAATACTCTCATCATAGTTCCTAGGTCCAAGGGTATAAGGGTTACGGATGATCCTCGTGGAGGGTTTGGGTCCTAGACACTGTGTCCCTTGCCACCTCCTGTTTCTCTCTTTATCTCTCAGCTGGTCTCCCACTCTCTGTCTGTACCCGTGTCTACTCACCGAGCTCTGGCCCCTTCCACTGCCACATTTAATCCTGCTGTCTCTTCCAAGGTACCAGTAGAGAATCCAAGAATGGAAGGGTTGAACTTCTTCAAAATGTCTTTAAGGAGAGAAGAGGCAGAGAGCACAGGTAAGAGGAACCAAGGTGGGAATGTAGTTTTGGGTCACAGGTATGTGGTAGGAGTGCCCTTGTCTTTCTGAGGCTGGTTGACTTCCTTCCCTACAGATAAGCCTCCTCTTTGTCCCTTCCAGGTGAAAGGTCCTGGCCTTAGTGAGGGTTGTGATGGGCATGGTGTCAAGATCTCTTGGTATGGGCTACTTACTGGGCAGTGTGGTATGGGTCTCCAATATCCCATCTCCTCCGATGCTAGGGACAAGAAAGCAACCATCAAAGTCACATTGATCTGCCGTTCTCTGAGTTGTCATACATAAGAATCAGACCAGCAATGTGTTACTATCCTCTGAGCTAACACAAGCATCATAGTCTCTTTGGATCTCAGAGTTGGGCCATGAGGGGCCTGGCTTTATTTCTGGGTAGATGGAGGGGAAACCCATTGTTCCCACTTCATTGGAACATTGTAAATAGTGATCCAAGAACCCCCTTACCTCCAAGACAGCCCCCTCCAGGAGGTGCTTAGGCTGCTGGAATCACTTGGTCGAGCTCCCATGGCTGTCTGTGAAAAGTGAAGGGAAGCTTTCAAAGCTGTTGGGCAGGGGTGCAGGGGGAGGCCCTGGGACAGGCCCTCTAGGTCTTGTGGAGCAGCCAGTGCTCAGATTGGCCTTTCTAGAAAAGGTACCCATTCTTCTTTAAGTGTATAAGCTCTGAACTGTCACATTCTTCTCCTCCCAGGCCTTTGCTCAATCCCATTGATTCTTTATGACCTCTCCAGTGTGGGTTTTTTCTTTTTTCTTTTTCTCTGCTTGTTGTATGGAGACATTCACATCCCTGCTATGGACAACACTCTGGCATCCCATCTGACCCCAGAGACTCTAGAACATTCCCTTTCTGCCATTGGCACTATCACTACTCTTTCTTTCTGCCTTGTCTCAATTCTGACACTTCACATCTCTTACCTCCAGGATCTAAAGCCAAACCCTGTCCCTAGTGTAGACCCTGTCATCTGGCATTGTCCTTCTTTCCCTGGTTTGCTCCCTCCTTCCCTGTCCATACAAATCCCCAGACTTAAACACATTCATCTACTGTCACTTTCAAAGCCAGAAGGCCTTGAGCTGCTCTATCCTTTTCTTGCTCTCTTTCCTTCCTGGGATGTTGAACCCCCTCCTTCTCAGCTCTGGAAACCTCTAGGTGATTCTCTACAATCTCTGAGCACATCTTTCTCTCCCACCACCTCCAACTCTTTGGGTCTGGGTTGATGGAGTTAAGTTCAGGCAACTCTGGACCTGTATATAATGCTGATGAGATGCAAGGGAACCGTGGGGGACCAGGGGATGGAGGGAAGCTTTGTGTGGGAGGCAGAGTTAGAGCAGGGTTAAGGAAGATGGATGGCTGGGGAGTGTCCTTCATGCCCGGAAGGGGACTCCCTGCTGAATGTAGAGCTGGTGCCAAGGAAGTGCACAGACAGGCTGAATTCTGAGGGGCCCATCCTGGCCCTGGCTTAGTACTCACAGTCAATGAGTCACCCAGAGCTGCCACCACCTTGATGTCTGCTGGTCGGAGCTCATGGACTAGGAGAGACAGGCAAGAAGAGAACTGGTGAGGTGTCTGCCTTTTAAAGTATGAATTAACCAGAGCCAGTGACTCTGCCCTAGTCCCCATAGGTCCCTGTGGTTCTTATTTCCAGCTGAAGGCTTTACCAGTATTGCCTGTCCTATTCATTCAGAACAACTGAGGCTCTGAAGGGTATGGGCTTGATGGCTACTGTCCATCCTGAGAAGAGTACAGCACTCTACAGGTGGTCCAGCAGAGTTCCAGTTATAGGTCATGTGACATAGGTAGCTAGGACCACATCCTTGACTGTGCCTGCTTCACCAGGCAGAAATCTGAGGTGCTATGCTGGGACATCAAAGAGACAAGAATTACTAGAGAGAAGCCTGTGCCCCTCCACATGAGAGCCCAGGAGTGGCTGCAGGCCAGCTTCTCAGGGCCTCCCAAGTGTCTGTGTTGTAATGGAATTAGCTGAGCCTGCTCAATGTTCTAGGGTGCATCTGTAGGGTTTCCCACCCAACCTGCAAGGCCCTTCATTGAAGGGGGGTGATGATATTTCACTTACCGGAGGTGGGAACACTATTGGAAGGATTCTGCTCCATGCATGGGAAGTCACTACCCCAGTTCTAAATCAGCAGGAGGAAAGATATAGGGCCATCACTCACTGTGCAGGGGAACGTGAACCCAAGAAGAGTTGGCTAAGGAATTGTTGGTAGAAGCTAGATACACATCACTGGGGAGGATCATGGGAGGGCAGGAATGGTTGGTTTTAAGTGGGTTAAGTGAGAAATTGGAAGGGAGAAGTGGGCTTACGAACCAGCAGCTTCTACAAAGCAGGGGAGAAAACAGTGAATTCTTACTACAGGTAGTTTCCAGAATGAACACAGGATTTAGATAACTAACACAAGAGACTATAGGTGTGCTTTGACGTGTGTTGTTAACATTAAGCTGATTGACACTGATTATGATGCTAGCTAGAGTCTAAATGATCATTAAATTTTTTTTTTGAACCACAGAGGTTTTATAATTGCAAAGCTTCTGGTTTCTTCATATATTTTCTCTACACCTGTGTATCTTTTTGCCTATTTAACTCCCGAGCCATCAATTCCTCTTATGTGTGGAAATGGACACCTGCCATCTCAATGCTTTTGGTCAACTGTCTTGTCTCTAATACAGTGTGTATTTTCCAGGTATTGGAGAGAGATGGGATAGGAAGCAGAAGGCACAGAAGTGACTAGTCCCAGAAAGCTGGTGGAGTATCGACTGCTATGTGGGTGCTGGGATTCGAACCCAGGTTTTGTACAAGAATAGTCAATGCTCTTAACCAAAGTCTTAAATATCTGCATGCTGAGTGTGCAGCATCTGCTGTCCCTACTCTCCAGTGGGTTGACTGGTTCTCTGGGAGTGTGACTGCCAGAGCTTTGGGAAGGTCATCTCATCTGCTCAGATGGTGCTGAAGGCAAGCCTTTGTTTGTTCTCACTATGTAGCCCTGGTGGCTGGCTTGGAACTCACTGTGTAGACCAGACCATCTCAAATTCCAGAGATGTACCTGCCTCCCTCTGCCTCCTGAGTGCTGAATTAAAGGTGTGCACTACCACACCTGGCCCCAAGACAAGGCTTGTTCAAAATAGCCCCATCAGGAGGGAAGGAGTAAGAATGAACTGTCAATCAATACAGCTCTCATCTCAAAGGGAGTAAGAGTTTATTTTTGAGTCAAAAACTGAGTGCCTATGGCTTGAGGAACACAAATATAGGTTGCCCCAAATAACATGTTCCAGTGTGGAAGTAGTTTTATGAAGTTTTTGTAGTTACAGAATAAAAGCAAATCATAAATCAAGGCATTTAAAACATAATATTGGTGGAGACATCAGGTAGGTGGGCTATAGCAAAGCAGGAAAATCTCTTCTCAGATGTTGTCTGATGAAATTTTTAGCTTTGGGTTGGTGAAGCTAGTAGTCTGTTTAGTTAATGTATTTTTTAAAAGTTTTATCTCACAGTCACAGGGATGTTAGGTCAGACACAGAATTGGACAATGAATAGCTATTACGGGCACTAAAGATAGTCCAAGAGAATTTGGCTCTGGATCTACAACATTTCAACTCCAGAAGTTCAAAATGAGGTTCTAATCAGTCAGCTTTGCAGAAAACTTCAACATAGGTATGGTGTGTGTGTGTACGCATGTGCATATGCTGGGTGCGGGGAGCGTCACATATTTAGCTCTGTGTGTGTGTGTGTGTGTGTGCACGCGTGTGCATATGCTGGGTGCGGGGAGCGTCACATATTTAGCTGTTAAATATAATCCAATAGAATTTAATTTATTCCAAGGGCCTCTCCAATGGATCACAATGATGAATTTGTCTGTTTAGCTGTTTTACTGAAGTCAAGAATAGGCTTGTGGGCTGGAGAGATGGCTCAGCAGTTAAGAGCACTGACTGTTCTTGTACAAAACCCGAGTTCGAATACCAGCACCCACATAGCAGTTAACAACTGTCTTTAACTCCAATTCCAGGGGATCCGACACCCTCTTTTGTCCTCCATGGGCGCTGCAATAAGGGTGCGCTTACACACATGCAGGCATAACACTCATACACATAAACTCAAAAAAAAAAAAAAAGAATAGGCTTGTATGCAGATGCAAATACTTGGGGAAAATGCATCAAAAAACCAAGAAGTTATGAAGCCACCAGCACCTTAGAAATATCTCTGATAGTTGGGGCACCAAGATAAGATGAACAGCTACAGATTGGAACTGAGCATGCTCATCTGTCACAAGGATCTTGTCTCATATATACCTAGTAGATTCTGGCTAGTGCCCAGGAGGCCGCATTTGTAACAACCTCCCAGGTAGCTTTTGTGTTGCTTACTTTAAGCAGCAAGCTATTAATACAAACACATGCCTTTCTAGGCCCGAGTTTTTAACTCTTCCAACACTGGAAGATCCATGAGAATAAAAATCTAAGAGAGCAAGCCCAGACCCACTATGCTCACACTGTTTATCAAGGCCTGAACAGCTTCTGCTCCCCTTAGAATCCTATAAATAAGTGTAAAATAAACAAGTAGATGCCTTATTAGCAAGACATTTCAATTATAATAGAATTTGGTCACTGGTTCAAGTAGGATTACCAGATTTCTTTGAGCTAACATAAGCCAGAGAGAATCTAGAAAGCCTGGAGTTGGTACAGCTCCCAGCCACACGGCTGTCAAAAGTCAGAGCACCATACTTCACAGTTCCTCAGTATTTATACACAGGCTAGTCTCAGCTCCTCAGATGGCTTATAAAAGGTCTTTCTGCCAGGTATAATGGCTCACATCTTGAACTCCAGCAACTGGGAGGCTGAGGCAGGAGGATCACTGTGAATTAGAGGCCAATCCAGGCTATAGAGTGAGACCATGCTTCAAAAAAACAAGTGAATAAACACTAAAAGCCAGGTGTGATGTCGCACACCTGTAATCCCAGCACTTGGGAAGTAGAGGCAAGAGGATCAAGAGTGCAAGGTCATCCTTAGCTACATAGCAAGTTTGGGGCCAGCCTAGCTACATAAAACCCTGTCTTTAAAAAAAACAAGTCTTTTCCCAACCACTGTGCTCTGATACATTTCCCAGACAGCCAGGGAAGCCAGATGCACCAGACATGCGCCGGACATGCACCAGATCCTGAAGCCTCCATTGGCTTTCCATCTCTTTCTGAGACCTAATCTTCCTTCACAGGCATTCAGGCTCTGGGTGATCTGGCTCTGAGCACTAATCTCATCCCCCACACTCTTCCCCACATTCACATGCTCCCACTCCAGCCACTCTGACTTTCCTTCTCCTTCAAATTACCACCCCTACCCCACCCCCACCCCTAGCCTCTGTGCTCTCTAAACCTGCTTGGACTTTTGTGGTTCTCTAAGTAGCTGGCGTCTTTTCAGATTTATTTATTATTTTTATTTTATGTGTATGAGTATATTGCCTGCATGTGTGTAAGTGCACCCGTGTTGTGCAATGCTGCGGAGGTTAGAGGAGGGCATCAGATTGCCTGGAACTGGAGTTACGGATGGTTGCTAGCTGCTGTTTGGGTGCTGGGAATGGAACTCGGGTCCTCTACAAGAGCAGCCAGTGCTCTTAACTGCTGGGCCATCTCTCCAGAAGATTTGTTTTTTAAAGAGTGTGTGTGTGTGTGTGTGTACACGTGTGCACGCAAACAGGCATCTGTCCAATGTGAGTGCTGGGAACTGAACTTGGGTCCAAGAGTAGTATGTGCTCTTAATGGTTGTACCATCTCTCCAGCCCTGGGCCTATCATTTTTTTCAATTTGCATATCTCAGTTCACATCTCCCTTCGCTGACAGGCTCAGCTTCCATGATGCATCTAGATTGGCCACCCTTCCCCTAGTCCATCATTCTTTGTCTCATCACCCATCTCTGATGAACTGTTGTCATTATGTACTAGATGGTCAATTGCTCAGCAGATTGAACTGTTCATGAAAGCTGGGTTCTGTGTGGTCTACTCTAACTCCCTGAAATAGCGCATGGCACATAGTAGATGTTCAATGAACAGTTGGGGAATCTTTACTGGGCTCTAACATCAGATACGTCTCTGAATCCTGACCAGTCCTTAATATAAGACGTGTGCAGCTGTATGAAACCATGGATGTGAAACAGAAATGGGTGGTTGAGTTCTTGTCCTGGTGGCCCAGGCCTAGGTCTTGCAAGATGTGGTATGGTCCAGGATCTGGCAAATCATCTTTGAGGTATCAATCCCTAAAGCTACAGGGCTCTGAAGGCTCAGAGCTAGAATGAATGCCTTGAATCAAATAATACTGAAGTAGGCGGAGGGCTGAAGGGGTAGTCACTTGTGGATATGCGTCAGCTTCCTGTAGGACTCCACCCCTGGCACTGAGATTCCTTCCCACTCAGTTTCTACCTTCAGGAAGTTGATGGCATTTCATGCCACTCTTTTCCCCTCCTCCCTCTGCAAGGCTGAACTACCTGATATAAAACAATGTCCCCAAGCCCAACTGCAAAGGTCAAAGCACACGGATCCCTGGCACTTCCTCTGCTTGGCTGCTGATGTCAGGTAGGCAACTTGAGAACATGTCAAGACAGTCCTGGAACCTCTGGGTTCCAGATCCTTTTTTTGTACATTCCGATTCCAGTATGTAAGAAGGGTACCATTTGTGCTTAAGCTAACAGTACAATCTGTACCACGCCCCAAGTCCCACCAGGTGGAAATGGCTTGTGTCTGAGAGTCACAGACATGAGTCAGGGGTTACCTCAATGGCTGGCTTGGTAGGGTATGTGTAGTTACTGTTCCGGAAGGTTCTCAGGAAGGGCTCATCCTAGGTTGGAAAAGAAAGCATATGGAGATGTTATCTGACAGCATGAAGATTTCTTATGAGCTAACAACCCTGGCTTCTAGGTGTAGTTAATAGGGTTCTTATGTATCTAAATATAATTTCAGTCATTTTCTAAAGGGTTTTTACAAGTATTTATTGACAAGGGAAGCACAATAAAATACTTAGAACCCTGACTGCAGTGTGTATAGAACCCTCTCTAAGTCCTTGTGTTCAATCTAGCAATTATCTTTCTGATTCTCAGGCTTATTTATTTTCTTTATGATTTCTCTGGCAAGGGATTCACATTTCAGCACTTTTCTTTACCAAGAATATTTTGATTATCAATATATTTTATCCTGTTATTTTTTCTCTCTTCCTTGTCCTACGTGTTTTATCCCCTTTAAGTTAACGTCCTGCATTTTCAGTTCATTCGTTCTTGGGAAACCTGTTCTTCATTCCCTTGTTACTTCTCTGTTGCACAATCATCCTACGTGTTTTATCCCCTTTAAGTTAACGTCCTGCATTTTCAGTTCATTTGTTCTTGGGAAACCTGTTCTTCATTCCCTTGTTACTCCTCTGTTGCACAATCGGTGTTCACACAAGCCTGGTCAAGACTCTGAGTCCACCCAGTTTCAGGTGATGGGTTAATCAAAGAGGGGAGAGGGAGGGAGGCAAAGGTAAACAGGAGGAAACAAGCTAATGAGGAAATACGAAGGGAGAGCAAAGGGAGGCGATCAGGTTAATAAGACTGGGACCAAGAAGTATATAGCAAAGTGGACCATGGCTAGGACACTCAGAGAACATGCGTGTAGACAAAGACCAAGGTTGGAAAAAATGAAAACCAAATGGGGCTGAGAAGGGAAAACCAGATTGTTGGAAAGATGTCATTAGAGAACAGTTCTAAGTGTTGTAAACAAATGCTCCATGAGTTAACACGGCTGGGAGATATTTTCATTTATTTTGGCTGGAGGAGAAGAGGGAGAGGGAGGGGGAAGAGGATTAAAATGCTCTCAGTTCTGACCCACCACTTTGTCTAGTCTCCTACCTCAACCCATCTGACTGCGATCCTCAATGTCTGCAATTTACAGACAAGGAAAAATAGAGTTCGAGTAAGAAAGAGGCATTCAAGGTTAGAAAGCCAGTAATGAGTGCACAGCTAGGGCCAGTGCTGACCTGATAGCTTGGGCCTGGTTCCACTCCTCACATTGGCCAACGAAAGACAGAGTTGGTCAGACAAAGAGGGTTACTTTGGAGGACAAAGTCTACATGCACTAAACTCTCAGCCCTTGGAACAGCTTTGGTCACCCTGGGGCTCCAGACCAGTCAGTCTCTCATTTCCTGTGAGTCTCAGCACTCCCATCTGAAACAGGAGCCAGAGGACATCCCTTCATAGAGACACACTCAGGTGGCATGCACTAGTGCAAGGCAGAAGAGGGCTTGCAAAGGTGTGTGGCATAGCTAATTAGGCTGCCTCAGGTCAGTGGGGTCAGTGGTTACTCCAAAAGGACAGCTTGGGCACATCTATGAAGGATTGACCCACACCTGTGTCTAGCACTTGTGCCAAGAACAATGCTCCAGAGGCCAGCATGAGAAGTGGACACAAAGTGACTTGTCCTCTGGGCAGATGGAAGATGGATATGAGATGCTTTCAGGCAATGAAGCATCAAAGAACAGCAGGCCCAGAACCAAGGGGTTTGCTTAGGGCCTATTGCAAGACTCAGGGAACATATATTCTTTAAGACAAAGCTGGGGCTGGGTGCCAATTATGATTCTCCCTCCACAGAGAACCCCTAGTAGAACTGGCCTCACAGTAGGTGGCACAGGAAGAGGCCAAGGGCAAAGACAAACCTTGCCTTTCTGGGAGAACCAGAAGTTCAACAACTATCTCTCTGACCATAATAGGTTCTGTGGGTTGGGGGAGAAGAGATAGCATTGAAGGGATCAGAGGACCAGGAGAAACTGGAATATGGTAGGTAGAACAGGATCTGAGGCCAGAGCAGGATTCATGGGAACAGGTCCAGGGCAACTGGCAGACAGGTGAGGGGGGTGCCCAGGACTTGCTGTGATTGGACCTTGATTGTTTGGTGCATATGAGTCAGACTGGTTTAAAGGTCTGGGGTGGAGCTGACTTCAGGAAGAAGGATTCCATGGAGTCTTCCTGGCTATGCGTTCCAGCAGGTAGAAGAGAAGCCAACTAGTTTCAGTGGACTGCCCAGGAGGCAGAGCCTAGATGACCACTTCTTGTGAGCTAGCAGCTGAGTGAGTGGCTAGGGGGCCGTGCTGTTCATGGCTAGGTGGAAAGCTCTGCCATGACGGAAGGGGGTTTTCTTCTGTGCTATTCTGCCTCATTTGAGCCACAGCAGACAGTTATCAGCTTAAAGGAAAAACACCTATAACAGGCAGGGATCGGCATTTGTCTGTAAGCGTTGGTTATGAGCCTGTGGTGGGTGATATTAGGAAGAAAGAAGACAGAGTAATGTCATGGATGCCTCTCTAGCACTTTCTATCCCAGCCCAGCCCCATCAGAATGTGTGTTTCTTTGATGGCATAATTTATCAATGGGACAGCCATTGGCACTTTAAAGAGGATGGAAGTTTAGGAAGAGGCAGAGAAGCCTTAAGAGGGGCATGGGAGAAAGATTTGGCTACTATATGAAAGGGTACCAGCAACTCTCTAAGGCCTGTTCTGCGGAGATTTTTGAGGTCCTCCAATCCTTTATATAAGTGGTGGTGAGGGTGGGAGTGCCTGGGGGCTGTGGGAATGGGGAGGGAAGAGTCCTTCTAGATGGGGCACCCAGTGTTTTGTCCCTTGTACTTGAAAGTCACAGTCACACTGACAGAAATGGGGACTCCTAAGCAACTAAAAGTTTGGGAAGACAAATATCTATTTCCTATTAGACATGCATTATTCAATGTACACTGATTCAGAATGAATGTTGGGTTTGAGGTGATAGTGGGGTCAGGGTAGGATTAGAAGATTCAGAAACACTGAGCATTAAAAAGATTACAGCCCTGCCCTAACCAGTCACTCAAAACAGAAAACTGCTCAACAAGAGTGTGAGGAAATCCAACAAATGTCTGCTTTTTCATGATAAAAGATAGGATGAAATCCATGATATCCCAGCTTTCTCTCTTCCCCTCCCTCCTTCTCTCCCTGGCTCCCTGACCATACATTTAATCTCCTTTTTTGGGTCACTTTATACCATATGCAGCCTCCATGAGGGAAATGTGTTTTAAGGGCTTAAAAATATAGGATTGCTGTCTGGGATAGAAAGAAAAAAAATGGCAGTGAGAGAGGGAGGGACCTGGTACAATGAAATTTAAGAGGGGGATCCTGGAAGTAGATCCATGTTAGAGTGAGAGGGAAAGGAGGAAGGGATGGAGAGGACACTAGGATTCAGACTTGAAAGTCCAAGGGCCTAGTTTACAGGGTTAAGAGAAGAGACACCATTAAAAAGATGGGGTAGGCAACCAGAAAAACAGAAAAATGAAAGTGCTTAATTCTTCACAAGTCCAGGGAAGAATGAATTTCAAAGAGGAGGTAGTAAACTTCAACAAGTGAGGTCAAGAAGAATAAAATCTGGAGAAAGAACAGAGCTCATCTTCCAGATGGTTGAGCTCTGGGGTTAGGTAAGGAGTGGGCAGAGAGCCAATTAAGGCAGGGAATGGAAATTAGTCCACAGAGCTCATCAGGAGGCTGCTGTAAATAATTCACGCAATCTGAAAATGCATCCTAAAGCCCTAGACTGATGTTAAGTCACCCCACCTGGCACAGCAGAATGTGGTAGCAGTAGAGATGGGGGTTGGGGGAGGAGAGGGGCGGGGACTCGAGGCCTCTTCTGTGCTCATGCTCAGCTTGCTGCCACCTCCCCCTGCATCCTGCCTGTTGCTTCTATGTTTAGACATGGCTAGGATGAAAATATGTACTGCCTGGCCCCTATCAGCTCACACTGAGATACTGGTGGACTTTTGTACGGCTCTGAGGCACATGCAGGGAGCAGATGGCACCCGAGACAGTACGGTGGAGCTGGGCTGGTCAACAGATGGACCCCTTTGGAATGGGCTCCAGGGTTGCTTAGCAACAGCTTCTCCTAGGCTGGGCTTTTTACTGGTTCTAGAGGCTGGATCTCTTTCCTCACCTCACCAATGTTCTGTCAGGCTCTGTACAGAAGGGTCGAGCTAAGCCCACTGTGACTTGAGATGCTGGGTAGAGTATCATCTGGGGCAGAGAACGGGAGAGGTTGCCTTGCGGCTCCAGTTTGTCACTTAACCTATGTGTTGAGAGGAAGAACACATGATGGCCGCTTTATAATTCCTTTTACTATCTAATGGAAGGAGAACTGGCACTTTGGAGGGGACTTTCCTGGCTAATATTCAGTATGGTCATACAGATTATTAAGGTATTGAAATTCTCAACTGTAGGCTGGGGAAATGGCTCAGCTGGTGCTTGCTGTACAAGGACCTGAATTCGAATCTCTAGAACCCATGAAAAGCCAGACATGGAAGGGCGAACCTATAGTTCCAGAGCTGGTGAGTAGAGACAGGAGGATCCATGGGACTTGCTAGCCAGCCAGTCTAAACTGGTCAGCTCCAGATTCAGTAGAAGACCCTGTCTCAAAAACTAAGGTGGAGAGCACCTGAAGACATCCACCAATGACCTCTGGTCTTCACATGCACATGTATGCTCAATTATATATGTGTACACAAACTAAAGGGAAACAAGAGTCTTCCTTAGAATATGACCATTGCTTTGAGTCCTCAAATGCCCCTCCCTCAAACTCCCTGGCCATCCTCAGGATGTGGGAATGAAAGAGTTCACACACAGCGCATAGGAATCTTGCCCAAGCCTTCTACCCAGCACCTGGCCACTGAGACTGGAGGCACGCATACAACTGGTAGTTATATGTTGACTGTCTCCTTTGCTTGGGGCACCAGACCCAGCAACGAGCCCCCTGCTGCCAGTACTGTCTCTTTTCATCCCACATCAGACTGAGCCATGGGCCAAAAACCGGGATGAAAAAAGTAGCACATAGGGAGCATGGGTCTGGATGAAGGCTCCCCCTTTCTCAGGGATCCCCAGTAGACACACAAGGGAGCTAGAGGCCTAGGTTGGGGCTCTGCCTGGTTGGGAGGGCAGGAGAGGTTAGTGTAGCCCGAGCCGCGCTGGAAAGCAGCCTTCCAGATTAGGTCAAGCACTCTGCTTTTATGGCTGCTAAGGGCTCTCCAGCCTTGACCTTATTTGGTTAAAAAGCCATAAGACAAGATCAGAAACAGGAGCAATGGGAACGTGAACCTGCCCCCCCTCCAGGCCTGAAGTCAAGTTTAACAATGACATATTCCTCCTTAAAAGGAGCCCTGAGCTGTTCCTTATGCCAGTTCAGGATGGTTCTCCTGCACCCTCCCCCACATAGCTTGGGCTCTCCCTTGGTGACTTCAAACTCCCACTGTGACCCTCTCTGTGTGGAGAGCACCTCAGTGGAGGCTCTGTGTTCTTTAGTCCTTCCCTGGACCCTCCCACCCACCCACAGCTGGACATTACCATCTGCCCCAAATGCCACATCTTGCCCTTCTGGCTTCCACTGCCCTGAGATCTCTGTGGAGGCCCAAGTGCTTCATCTATCCCTAACGAAGCAACCAGCACTCATCCACTTCCTCCCTACTCCCCATACATCCATGTCTCAGCACAGGGGTGAGCTGGGCTGAGGAAGCTGTGTTGGAGGAGAAGGGACAGGTCTGAGCAGGAGCAAAGCAGCCCCTCCTTTATTACCTGGGTCGGGCAGGCCACGTCTATGAATGCTCTCAGGTCCAAAGTATCTGTTTTCTTTCCCAATGGTTCAAGCTGATCAGGGAAGAAAAGAGAGACAGTATGCTTGTTTATTTCTGCTAAAGTGAACGTTCCCTGGCAGCCTCCTGCAGCAGGAAGGCTCAGAATTTCATTCTGGGAGCTCGGCTTCAACTTCAGGTTCTGCCAGGTGCTGGCAGCTGGCTACTGAGCGAGTCACTTAGCTTCTTTAAACTTGAGCTTTTTGGAAATGCAGGACATTTTTCTTGTGGGGCTATAAAGGGGCTAAAATGAGATCACATAGCTTCAACTGCCCAGCACAAGCTGGTCCATAGAAAAGGTTGAATGAGGGGTTTCTTCTCTCTCTGTTATATGTGTGTATAAATGGGTAAGTGGGTACACATACTCCTGCATGCCCATGTCAAGTGTTTTCCTCTGTTGCTCTCTACCTTAATTTTTGAGACAGGGTCTCACACTAAACTTGGAGATTACTGTTTCAGGTTGACTAGCAGGTCAGTAAGCCACCACACCTGGCTTTTACATGGGCACTGAGGATCTGAGCTCAGGTCTACCTACTGAGCCATCTCCCCAGCCCCCTGATAGACATTTATAGAGAGAGCATCCCTCATCACACCTTTAAGCACAGAAGACAGGGGACAGTGGAACCTGGCTAAGTAGACCCTCAGGTCTCCTCATGGGCCATACTGTACACTGCTACAGATGTGCCAGATGCTCCTCCTCTGGGCCTGTCCCCATCTTGTACCATCTAGGGGATGGTACTTTGTTCTAGGATACAATCCCAGAAGCAGTCCTTTTTCTTACCATATTGACCCAAAGGGCTCTGGCAAGCTGAGAATGGAATTTCTGATTTGGGTGGATACAATCTGGGGCGAAGTATGATGTATCTGGATGTCCATTCTGAAAGAGACAAATATACTTCCTCAAGATCCTATTGGGTTAGAGAGAGCCATACACCATTTATTTGATCCTAGCAACTGACCATAAAATACTCTTTTTCCTTTAGGAGCGCCCCAGATCATTGACCATACAGGGCCTATTACCTTAAGAGAGCATTCCTACAGGTAACTAGCCCTTATCATCTTCTCTGGCACCCAAATTCTACATATTTCATTTTTCAAATGCTCTTTCCAATACAGCAGGTGGGAGTGGAGTTAAAGACCCAAAGACAAAGGCCCACTTCTCACTCTGATGTCATGTAGTCAACATTCTATCCATACAAATTCTTCTATCTTTATACATGAACTGCTGTGCTCCTAGGGACCTTCTCTTGCACCTGGCCAAGTCTTGCTCTTGATTCAAGACTATAGGAGTGTAATGATTTGTGACTGCTCAGAATATGTTTCTATCCTACTCTTTCTTTGGTGGCAAGCCCACTTTCCCTAGATGGAGAGTGGGCAATGACCAAGATTTGACTGGTTAACTTATTTAACAAATATTTAAGTCTTTATTGTGTGCCTTGGATACTGTTGTAGTCCTACTGTGGTAGTTAATGTTAACGATCCACTAAGTGGAAACTAGAATCACCTGAGGCAAGTGACTGGGCATACCTGTGAGGAATTATCTAGATTAAGGTTAGCTTCTGAGAGTGGCTGTGAGAGATTCTCTTAAGTGATATGGAAAGACCTAATGTGGTGGTTTGAATGAGAATGCTCCCCATAGACTCCAAATATTTTAATACTTGGTCCCAGTTGGTGGTGCTGTTTGGGAGGGTTAGGAGATGTGTCCTTGCTGGAAGAGGCATATCACTAGGGATGGGCTTTCAGAGTTCATACATAGCCTTGCCCCATTTCCTGTACCTGCTTGAAGATGAGGGTGCTCAGTTTTCTGCTCTGACTGCTTTCTGCCATGCTCCCCCACCATGATGGACCAAGCCTCTGGAACTGTAAACCAAATAAACTCTTCCTTCTATCGATTGCCTTGGTTATGATGCTTTATCTCAGCAATAACTGTGAATAGGACCATTCCCTGGGCAAGGATCCTGGTCTACATAAAATGGAGAAAGCAAGTTTAGTTCTCTCTACTTCCTGATTGCAGACTTGATGTGAGTAGCTGCTTCAAGCTCCTGTTGCCTTGACTTCCTTGGCATAATGGATTGTGCCCCTGAACTGTGAACTGAACTCTATCCCTTGAGGAAAAAAAATAGAAATAAAAGGAGTGCTTTCATTTCTAGGCACATTTGCATAATACCTAGCTCATGCCATAGAGGAAGGAATGAATCTCTAGTTCCAAAGGGAGTCTTGAATAGTGTTATGGTTAATATTATCTACCTGACAGGATCTAGAATCACTGAACAAGGTTCTGGGCATGTCTGTGTGGGATTTTCTAGATTCAGTTAATTGAGGTAGGAAGACCCACATGAAATGTGTGAGGTGTACTATTCCAGAGACTTGGGTCCTAGACTACATAAAAAGAGGTTAGCTGAGCAACAGCAATCATTGTTCTCTGCTTCCTGACTGTGGATGCAATGTGACCAGCTGCCTCAAGCTCCTGCCACTATGCCTTCTCACCATCATAGACTATCGCTCTTCTTAAACTGTAAGCCAAAACAAACTCTTCCTTCTTTAACTTGCACTTGTCAGGCAATGATGGGAGAAGTAAATAATACAAGTAGTAAAGGGGGAAAGCTACTTCCCCCTTAGCCCCCAGCCTTGGTAGTCTTAGATAGAGAAGATGGAGCTAGGTATCAAGCAGGTCTGGCCAGAGCTGGCACTAGGGCAGCTGGCCACCTGACTCCTGCAGCCCCCGGGGGCACACCGAGCCATTCTCCTTCCAGCTTCCCTCCAGTTGAGACCCTGGGATAAATGTCACCTTGCTCTGTCTGCAGATCTCTTCTGCGTTGAGTGGAAGCTCCAGGCAAAGAGCATGGGAATGGGGTGGGACTGTAACACCAGAATTCTCTTTTATTACTGCAGGGTTCCATGGGGAAAAAGCACATATGTGGCAGAAAGTGCTAGTGTGGAGTTGGGTACCTGTGAATCTTGTCTGTTTCTTATTTTTCACCTGATTTTAGGAAGGATGCTTCACATCTCTGTACTTCTGTTCTATGGGAATGACAGTATCCCCAGATGGAAGTTGTGGTAGTCTTTTCTATGGGAAGCACAGTGCCTGACATTATGAAGTGTGTACCTGATATCATGGAGATGTCCTCAGGAACTATGGGAAATTCCCACATCAGGATGCCTTAACTGTCCTACAGAGATGCCACAACATATCTCCCTGCAGAGCCTGAGGGAGGAAGGCTGCGTACCTCTAGGATGGGGAGCAGAGTGTTGAGGAAGAAGGGCTGCAGCACCACGGAGAAGTCCTCTCGTGTGTCATAGCGGCCTGACTCTACCAGTTGGAGAATACTGCTCTGGGGACACATACAGGAAAACAGCAGCCTTCAGCACAGTGTAGGATAAGGGCAGGTGGCACACAGGGAAGTTTGGACAGGGAGGCTAACTCATCCTTTCCCCAGAGACTACAAATGCTTTTGATGGCAAACACCATTCCAGAGAATTTGGAAATGGGTAGATTGTGTTTTAAGCTTTGGTTTAAAAAATATCTGCAATCTCTGAAGAACAGGGCAGGAAGTTCCACAAAGAATGAAAATCAGAGACGACACTCCAGAGGTCCTCAAACTCCAGGCTTGCAACCTTCCTTCCTGTGGTCTTGTCTGCAGGGACTCATGTTATAGTGGGGGGCCATGGATGTCAGGGGAAGGTAGCCTTCAAGGTGGTCTCATGTGGTTCCCAGGACTGATGGCCAACAATGAAGGTTAAACTCACAAGGGGACAGAGGAAGGGGCCCAGGATAACTGACGTCTTGCTCAAGCCCTGAGCAGTTCGTCCCTTTCTTGAGTGCCCCTCACCCCCAAACCTGGTGAGGGCTCTGGGCTGTGGTGTCAAAGTGAGTATGGGCAGAAGACAGGGAAAGACACTCCTGTGTCTCACCTGGTAAGCTTGGGTGAAGGCCTCCAACCTGGCCAGCTCGTGGGAGTTCTCCGCTGGGGTCAGAACACAGTTGCACAGGACACTGCACAAAGAAGAGAGGCAAGAAGACCCAGAGCTGAAGCTCCATTCAGGGACTGCTTCAGAGAAGGGTGGGGTATCATGAATCACTCAAGCCCTGATTTGGGAGCACATGTGCCTTGATGCTCTGAGGCACCTGAGAGGCCTGGGAGGAAGCTGGAGTTTGAATGCATTTATGCTAACAAGTGCCAGGATTGGACTGCTGGGCCTGCAGCAGATTCTGCTGAGCAAAAGAGCTTAGACTATGAGAATGGAGTGTTTAAGTAAAAATTTAACTTGAACAGTCTAAAAATAACAGAATATGAATAAATAAAATTAAAAATTAATAAAAATAATAAAAGCAATGCATCCTCTGGTATTGGAGCAGGTACACTGAGGCTTCGATATTTACAGCCTCAGTCTCCCCCCTTCAGTGACACACTCTCCATATATAGTTAATAAACCTTTTAAAAATATTTCTATTTTGCCAGGCATGGTTTCGCACGCCTTTAATCCCAGCACTTGGGAGGCAGAGGCAGGCGGATCTTTGTGAGTTCGAGGCCAGCCTGGTCTACATAGTGAGTTCCAGGACAGCTGGGGCTACAAGGAGACCCTGTCTCAAAAAAGACAAAAAAAATTTCTATTTTATGTGTATCATGTGCATGCAGTCCCTATGGAGGCCAGGAGAGGTCAATGGATTCCCTGGAGATGGAGTTACAGATGATTATGAGCTGCCATGTGGGTGCTAGGAAACAAATCTGGGTCTTTTGCAAGAGCAGCAAGTGATCATAACCACTGAGTCATCTCTCCAGCCTCATATGTACTTAATAGTAAAAGAAAAGTTAAAGATGATCCTTGACTTACAATGGGGTCATGTCCCAATAAACACATGGTAAGTTAAAAATACTTTAAGTTAAAAATCATTTGCTACACCCATCCTACCAAACATATCTGCTTAGCAGCCCCATGAGGATCAACTGTTTCCAGTATCACTAGAGAGCATTAGATGGCATATCACAGTAAGTTCTGTGAGAGCTGTCAAGTCAGTGGTGCATGCAGAAAGTATGAAGAATAATGAAACACATATCTATGTATCTATCACTTGGTCTGAGCAGCAAAGCAGTCTCAGTGTGAAGGTCCCTTGCACTCCTCCCAGTTATCTTCTTCCCCATAAGGTACCTGACTTGTATGTTTTTTCTCTTATTTTCTATTGTAGTTCAACCACATATACATAGTTCACTATGTTGCCCCTTTGTGGTTTGGGCTACTCAGTCTCTTAGATACTAGCCCCTGTGGCTCCTGGTATCATGGAAGTTCCTGCCTAGTACCTGGCACTTGGGATTGGGCAAGGGGCAGGGTCAAGGCCCTAACTTCCCAGAAAAGGATGATTCTAGTGCAAGTCTTTGTTTATAGACATGGATAAACTAAGTTACAGAGATCCTGGGGAGTCAGAGCTGTTTGTAAGCTAGACCAGGGGTTGAGAAATCGCCAATATGGGATGATCAGCACCTATCTACCTACCTGGCCTGATGCACTGGACACTTGTCTGGGTTTTTCAGGAACACTTGCCGGATGACACTGGGGTTCATGAAGTCCACGAGGTTGACCAGGGCTCTGGGCATCTAGGGGCAAGGCTGCAGATGCAACAGGGGCTCCTGGGTGTGCTAGAGGGTCCCTTTAGACTTCTAGTTCATCCCATGCCTTGAGTTCCAGCGACTACTGCATAGAGTGCTATAGCCCGTGCATCACACAACTGCACTTGTGAGGGGTGGGGTGGGGGTGTCCCACATGGGCTATAGTACCTTTGGAGTGGGATAGTAAATGCTAAGAGTCCAACTCTGTTAACCACCATTTAGCAAGCCAAAATTTGGTGACATAGGTGACCTGCTTGCCAGGCCATTAGCCCTGAACCAGTTACTGCCAGCCTGACTTGGTCTACCTCTGTTGAGGAGGCATGGGGACTCAGCCACCCAGAAGAGCATTTGGTGATCAGAATGTTCCTCCTGAGCAGCTAGGCATCCAGCTTGTTGTTGCCATGATCTAGCAGTGGGATGGAAGATGTGAGGCCAGATGCAGAACCAGACAGACTCACTCTAGACACATCACATGGTTCAGAAAGCAGGGTCCAGCCTGGGTACCACCCAGCTAGCTGCTGCTTCCAAGAAATGTCCTGGATAGAAGTGGCCGTCCTTTCTTCATACCTGGGATCTCTGGGGCTAATTCCAAATGGAATAAGGCTAACTTGGGAATAGACCTTATTCTCTGGATATAGGCAAAGCCCAGGCCTTTGGCTCTCTCTACCCTTCCTCTCCTTTCCCACACGAACCCCCATCATGCCGGAGCTGCAAATGGTTAACAGAAGACCTTACCTCTCTATGCAGGATGTCCAAGGCATTGCGGAGATGGTCAAAAAAATTGGCTGCGGAGTACAGATTCTACAAAGAGATGGGAGGGAAAGCAGTTGCTGATCCCTGTGAGAGGGCACAGGGGCGGTTGTGGGCTTCCCTTCTGGATCCCACTCCAAGGATTTGTTCTGCCTCTCATCTCCATCTGTGACTAACTTGGCATGTCAGAATCTGAGCTGACCACCTGACTGTTGTTGTCAAAGACAGGCCAGCTAGAAGGCTGGAAGTTTTAAACAGAGCAGAAAACGGAGAGTCCTCTCCTAAGGGCTTAGGGTCTATAGTTTCTTCTTTTTATGAGAGCTGTAAAGTGAGGAGACGCAATTCACATACGTGCCACCTGCTACTTCATACTTGGAACATGCAGATGGTGCTGGCCACCTCAGAGTGGAGGGTAAGAAGTGTGTGTGTGCATGTATGGGTGCACCTGTATTATGTGTACACATGTGCAATGTGGGTAGAGTTGGATACCCTCTAGAGTCAGTAGTAGGGACCTCTCTTAGAAGATCTCCAAGGGCCTAATGGTGAAAGTCAGGAGCAGGGAGCAGGCCCAGACCCTGTCCTCTTACTGAATCTGTGCAGAAGTCACATAAATCACTGACTCCAATCATCACCGTGATGACCTTCCAGTCTTGGTTGAAGTTCACTCTCTGCATTAGGAAGGAGGAAAACACTTGATCATTTCCAACCCCAAGCCCATCACAGCTCCAGGAAATCCAATCAACCTTTTGTGACTTCCTTGCCCACTTGAAATAATAGAATCAGAATCTCAGGGCTGACAGCATTTTAGAGGTTTGTTTATAAACCAGGGTCTTAGTAACAGGAGGGACCTTCGAGGTCACTGTGACCAGCAGCCACTTTCTCCCCATTGATATCCAGAAGGTCCCAGACAGGGCTGCCCTACCTTTGCTTAAATGCCTCTTGTGACAGGGAGCTCACTGCTTTTCCTGGCAGACCATTCCATTTGGGGACAACTTCAGTGGGTTAAACAGTGAATGTTTAGAAATAACCATCACTGTGACTCACATGGTCATTCTTCATCCTCTGAAGCAGAGTCTGGACTTGGTTTGCAAGGTCCCTGCGAGAGAGCGAGAGAGAGCGAGAGTGAGAGTGAGAGAGCGAGAGCTTTCACTGAGGAACAGTGCCCAGAGTTTTCCTCCTGCAGAAACTACACGCTCCAGGCTTTCATGATACCATGCCCATCAGACCCTGAGGCTGTCAATAACCACATGAACAGCTGATTAGCGATTAGGTGTTAGTTCTAAAAGCTGTAGTCAAGGCTCCTGCCAAGTACATTTATCGCTCATGGTGGTCTTGTCAGGGTTCCACACTAAGAAACCATTCGCCTTTGTTGTTTTGTTTCCAGGTGGGGTTTCATTATATAACCTAGGCTGACCCTGAACTGATCCTCCTGCTTTGGCCTCGAGTGCTGACAGGTGTGTAATCTATAATCAGTCAACTAGAACGGGTCATCTGTCCCTTTTGAATAATTGGTATAGATCATGCAATTAGATGTATGAAAGTTTTAGAATGTTTTCTTCCCCCTGGTTGCCAGGAAGCTAAGAGCTTGATATTCAAGCATAATAACCATAAAAATGTTCACACTGACTTAATTTTTTCCTTTGTCCCAATGACTGTGACTACTCTTATCATGCAACACATATATGCATACATATATGAACATTATATATGTTATTTGCTCTTGTGAACTTATCTAGGTGCTTCAGAAAGAGATGGAGAGTGAGTGAATAAATGCCTTGTACATGCCTGGGTTTATAACTCATGGGAGAAATGGGTGCTAGGCCCCTGGTATAGCCTGAGTGATGGCTCCATCACTCCTGGGATACTGTGGTGGAACTGTGTGCCACAAGCTATTATTATCATCAAACCCAGTGAACAGTTCTGGGGGACATACCCACCAACTAGTGGTGTGAGCTGGAACAAGAAGAGGCTCAGCATGAGAGGCTCACGTGGCTGGGCCTGGAGCTGTGGGGAGCAGGAGTCCCAAGACTCTGGGGCCTCCAGGAGAAGGATAAATGGCCCCTTGGGAGACCATCCCAGGAGGCTGGACAGTTCTGCCTCAGTGGCTTCTGAGTGTCTCTAGTCCCTTTCTTGTTAGCTCCATTTTAAGGTTAGGGAGAAGATGAGACTTTTCCAGGGGCCTCCTCAGGCCAGAGATCCTGACTTCAATGTAGTGGGCCTTCCCAGATCAAATAGGGCAATTGACATTTGGGAGACTCTGGGGAGAGTAGATCTCTTTTTTGTTGTTGTTGTTGTTGTTTGGGTCTTTTTGAGACAGGGTCTCGCTGTAGCCCCAGTTGGCCTGGAATTTACTATGTAGGCCAGGCTGGCCTTGAACTCACAGAGATCTGCCTGCCTTTGCCTCCTGAGTGCTGGGGCTAAAGGTGTGCACCATCACATCCAGTCTGAGAGTGGATCGCTTTATACCATTATGCTGGGGTGAGTTTTTTAAATTGGCTTCACTGTTCAGTCAGTCCAATTCTTAGGAGATAAAGCAGGTGAAAGCCCGGCCAAGTGGCTGGATAACAAGTGTAGGGGCACTGCTCCTTCCCAAGGCCAACAAGGCCCTCTGGCCTCCCTAATATAGCCTCAGTCACAGGGGTTCAGGGAAGAGTAGCCTGAGCCTCAAAATCATTGCTGCAGATGGATAAAGGGCCCCATTCGAAGGCTATTGTGGAGATCTCTGAGGGACCGTGTGCTCCTGTTCCCCACTCTGCTGCCCCCAAATGTCATACTCAGCCTTCGCTCTAGGAACAGCCTGGTTAAGGAATGCATTTGTAGAACTGGCATCACCGGTGCCCACCGCATAGCCTGTGAGATTTCCATTAAATTCCTGGAGGATATCTGGAACAGGAAGGATAGACTCTGGGAAAGAGCTCAGGACAAGACCAGGATACCTTTTTCAGTACTGAGGGAGCGAGGGTCCCACGATGGGCTGTGCCATCATTGTCATGCTTCTTGGGGATAGGCAGGGGCTGCTGCACATGTGCCTGACATAAACTAGGGCCTCTCTCAGTTGAAATGATGCAATAAAACACAGCCAAGGCAGCAAAAGCCTCCTACTTACAGATATACTTCAATTCACAGTGCAGTGAAGGGCACTGACTGGGTCAGTTGAAAAAGCTTAGGGCTTAGGATATTTGATGGCTTGCCCTAGGTCACCTCACAAGCACATAGAAAGGTAGGGATTGAACCCAGATCTTTAGGCTCCAAATCCAATGCTCATTCCATACCACCCCCTGGCTGCCTGTCTAGGGCCTCTTCTTCCGCTTCATAGCAGAAGCCCATAAGATGAGGCTATGTGATCTTCTTGGGAGGCCTCAGAGTCAGATGGATAGAGTGGTCCCACTCAAGCCCTTGGTGGTTACTTACTGGGTAAGGTGGTCACGTTCTCCAGGGACTCATCCCCGCCAGCACTGTAGGGAGTGGGCAAGCCAAAGAAGGAGAGAAATCAAGTCAGTATATACACTTTACCAAAGAACCCCACTATTCTTAGAATCTGAGAGATCTCGAGAAAATTCTACGTTTACCAATAGTTTGCTTCACCTATAGTCTAGGATTTGAAGGCAAAAGAGTTCTTTTTGTACCCACTCAAGAAAGAGTGCTTAGGTGAGAACACTCTGTGTGCCCAGCATGGACTATATTATAGGCCTTGATTCTCCTGTCCTCATAAGCTTATGAGTTAGCTTTGAGTATATCCATGTGCCAGAGTAGAAAATGAAGGTGCACAGAGGTTAAGTTGCTAAAGGTAACTAAAACCCAGCTTGAGCTGGAAACTTTGAGAACAGATAAGCCCTTCTCTGCTCTGTATCAGGTAGATTCCAATGGAAGATTCAGAGAGCAGATGCTTGCTGTCTTCCAGTGCCCCATCTCATTTTATCTGGTCTAATCTCAAGACATACTCTAAAATGGTTCATTTCTTTCCACGTTTAAACTGAGCACAACATACAGGCAGCAAGAAGAGAATAATTTCCATTTTAACAAAACTAGGTGTTGAGGTATCTGGTATTTAGTATTCTTTTTTTGTATTTGTTTTTTTGGTGTTTTTTTCCCCTCTTCTTTTGTGCCTCTTTGCTCAGCCCCAGCACAGCCTTCCAGTCCAGTGGATTTTGAGAACAGAGCCTTAGCATCTCAGCCCAGCAGTGGAGACCTTGAAAGGATGACCATGAGTCAGTAATTGCTCTTCAGTCAAGGAATGTTTGGAATGAAGTCAGCTGTTTTATACCAGGTTGGTCAAGGGCTTAAGCCACAGGCTCAGCAAGAAGCTCAGGTGGACAGAAAGGCTGGAGGAAGCTCTGCCCTTCTGCACTGCTCAGCTCTCCCTTCCATGGCCCATCGGGCGTCTGGACCTAGGCGGCTAACAGTTTGACATTTGTTTATATGGATTATTTCCCAAGTCTGCATGAAGGTTTAGATCCTTTCTCTGAACCAAAGGCACCGAACTGGAGCATTTTACACTTGGAATGAAACTATAAATCTGTATACTGCCCGCCCCAATCTGCTACCTCTGTTTCCCCTCAATAAAATGAAAACATACATAAACAAATACCTCATATACTTTCTTTTGTTATGTCTTTAAGGCCTCTTGGTGCTAAAAACAAATGTGATGACAGACCAAGGCCAGCAGGCCAGGGAAATCTCTCCCTGGTGCCATTTTAGAATTAAATGTCCAGGAGGAAAAAGACAATTCTACAAATAAATACAGAGAAGTAAAAATGCTCAAGCCACCATTTTGCTCAGAACTGTGTAAACATGAAAGGGAAACGGAGTCATATCAAACATGTGGCATGTTCTAGACCCTTCAATGAATGTAAACTGTAATACTCTGAGTTCAATGGCTGGGCTTTGTTTATCTGTTGTCATCACTCATGTACAGAAAAGTAGAGGAGCTGATCAGTCCTGTTTGTTGAAAGGGTTTCAATAATTCAGTAATGTGAAATTGAACTCCCAATGAAAAAAACAAGAATGCTATATATATTTTTTCTTTTTGGTAAGCAAATTTTATTTTGGTCCATGAAGTAATCCCAGACAAGCTAATATATTTCAATGAAAGAGAAAGCTGTGCTTTAAAGACCTCTGGCTCACTGCACTGGTAAACTAAGTGATGATGCATGATCTCATAGGTTGGAGTGGAGGTATTGGAAACACAGCCAAATCTCTGCAGGCCCTGCTTGCAGTCACCCATTCCCCAAGAATCCTGGGTCCCCTTGCCCTACATCTAACTCCATGAGAACCATTTTTCCCGCTTTGTTTCCTTGGAGGAAGAGACCCGATGTGCTTTCTAATGTTCCTGGAATTATTAATTCCCCAGTATTTCCAATGTAGAAGCTTTAGTAGCTCCAGAAAATTGCTTTTCTCAGATCAGTCTACTTCAGGGATGTTTCCCAGGGGTTATTAACAGACGTAAACAAAGGGAAAAAAGTCTAGAGTTAAAGGAAATGCTAGATCAAACATAAAATATAAACAGATTTATTCAATGCAACATTTCTCAGAGTCTTTAACAGACTGATGTGTATGTGAATTCCCCAGAGGAAGGAGGTAGTAGGTAATTTTTCCCCCAAAATAAAAAGGAGTTCCCCCTCTTAGCAAAACACTCCATGGAACACACTTTGAGGAACACCTGTCTGTGTAGTCTACCACTGTCTCTCAGACTCTGACCTAAGCTTCCATTTTCAACACAGGTGCATTTGGGGCGAGATATTTGGAACATTTAGAACAAGCATGGTGGTGCATGCCTTTAATCCCAGCACTTGGGAGGCAGAAGCAGGTGGATCTCTGTGAGTTCAAGGCCAGCCTGGTCTACATAGTGAGTTCCAGGTCAGCTGGCACAACAGAGAGATCCTGTCTCAAAAAGACCAAAATAAATAAATAAAAAGAACAAGCCAAGGTTTTGTTTAAACTTCAAGGGACAGCAGTTATTGGACGTGAGTTTTTGGAGTTATAACTAGAAAATTCAGGCATTTCATTCACAGGAAAGAGACATTGGCTAGACATCTGCATGACTGTGAAGGGAATCTCCAGAAGACCACCATTCTGGGTTGGGAGTCCCACTAGCTCAACTGTCTGTGAGGTTGGGCCTGTCACCTCATTTCCCCAGGCTGTTCCTCCAGGGAGAATTGACCCACCTACCTTGTGGTTTCCCCACATAATGATGATGTGAGGTCACTGCCGCCCTTAGCTGAGGCAGAGAGCAGCTGCCACCTCCTCATGCTTTTTCCAGATTGTAATAAGCCCTGTTTTCTTTCTCTCACTCTTCCTTTTTTTTCCTTATAGTTTCAGTAATGTGGGAGAATGATAATTGAGGTTCTGTTTTGTTCCAGGCAGGCCACTACAGAGACTGAGCTGGCAGAAGATGTAGAAATGTGGGAGCCTCTGAGTTGAAGGGTACCTTAGTCCTGGGAGAGAAGATTGCATTCACGCTAAGGACCATTGGGTCTGCCCTGGGAGTGGCTACAAGCTGTGTGGTCCTGTCTTTCACCCTGGGAAACCTTTCTCTCTGGGACTTTGCTTAGCTCTTATCACCCCATCTTGTTCTCTCTCACTTTCTTAGGGGAAGATCCTTGAAATGAATGCACCCAAAGGAAAGGGAAGAAGCAAGCCCACAGCTCATTAGTGCTCTGCCCTCTGGTGGCCAGCTTTGGTCTAGTTTTCCCAGAAAAATCCTAAACTGCTCATCACCCTCCAAATGGTTAAAGCATGCAAAAGCACATAGTTTATTAGGAAAGAAAGAAACAAAACACAACTCACGCTTAACCGCATACCTAACACCCTGAACCTGAGCTTTTCTACTTTTGTGTCTGGGGTGCCCTTTCTCACCCCTTCTGTGGCTAATGGCTAATCTTTCAAAGCATGCCGGGTACCACTTTCTCTGGGAAGCCTTCCATTGTGACTGGCAGGGTTGGTTCCTCCCTCTTCTCCAGTCCTGTGGCACTTGGGTTGCAAAAAGTACTTTCCTGGTGAGCATGTGCCTTATGTACAGCTCCCTTGGCTACCCAGCTCAGTTCTTAGCCCTGTGCCAACACACAGGAGAGATTCAGGGATGCCCACTGATTGTGATTTTGCCTTCATTATTTCCTCTGGAAGCGTTTGTTGGGGCTTGGAAGTTTTCTGTGTAGATGTGTACATACATGTACAAGCGGAGGTACAGAACAACATGAATACATACATGAAGACAGATATAGGAGCATCAACATATGGATACAGACATGGGAAGGTGGAGACTCAAGGACTTGGTGTTTTTCGGGTACATTTCATGTTGAATTTGCTGGCCCAGGAGTTTGGTAAGAACCTTGATTTACTTTTTCTGCATAATTTAAAGATAAAAAGATTACCAATAGCAAAATATCTTCTCTAGTCAGCAAATGTTCACAGTTTGCAGGCATATAGTTTTCCTTCTGAAAGCCCCTTCTAGACCCAGTCCTTATTCTTTGGGATTTGTGCATTTATAGAAGTTAAGTCCCTACCCAAGCTAGGTATGGCAGTACATGATGGTAATCCCAGCACTTGGGAGATAAATAAGAGTTCAAGGTCATCCTTGGCTATAGAGTTTGAGGTTAATGTAGGCTACATGAGATACAGGCAAAACAAACAAACCCAAAAGCAAATGTAAAAACAAACAAGCAAATTGAAGAAACCCTCATCCAATCTCTGGGGAGGAGGGGAATATGCCCTAGGGAAGAAGAAGTCAAGGGTTAAAATTACCTAAATGACAATCCCCGGTACTGTGTGATGACATCTGGGAGGTTGCCTTCTTGGGAGCCGATTCCACTGCCAGCCTTTGAAAACAGACCAAAATCCACAGGAAAATCAGTAAGTCAGAGAGAAAGGAGGGGCTGTGAACACCGAGGTTCTGAAGATGTGGTTCCCAGTGAACTTATGGAAGCAAGAGGGGTGTCAGGCCAGCAGCCAGGAGGCTGTGTCTGTGACCCTCCCTCCCAGCTGTGCTTCCTCAAACTCACTGATCCATGAATAAACTTGCCTTTCCACAAGGGAGGTTTGAGGGCCAACTTAGATCATAGTTGTAAAGACTGTTTGGAAAACTCTCAAATGCTTTACAAAAGAGAGTGACATCAGTAATATTGCCAGCATCACACTGCATGAGTCTTTATGAACATGCAGAAAGAACTCAGATTGGAGCTGCTGCGGTGGAAAGATTTCCAATAAAGTCTTTCATTTCTCTTCTTTTCCTTGAGAGCCATCAGGAAGGCATTCATAAAGCCCCAGATGTGCTGCCAGAAGATGGTGCCCTGGGATGGCAGCATAGCCCAGTGCTGGAAGTAAGAGGCAGAGCTTTATCCAATACTGAAGGATAAAGCTGCTTTCTGCAATGAGGTGAAGTGGAAATAGGGGTCTGGGCTGATCATAAGACATAATCCAGAGGGAGAATAGCACTCACACAAGCACGAGGAGAAGTTTGAGTTAAAATGACATATTTTTGCATATGTCAAAAAGTACTGATGGGTGTTTAAAACCTCTTCAAACTGAGACAATTCAGTTCACACCCCAAAAAGATTTCCCCTGCACACATACTAGGGAGAATAGTTGTAAAATCAAATCATTGCCACTCTTTTGGACCAGGACAGAAAAGCAGGTCACTGTAGGGAAGGAGTGCAGGCCTTGGAGTGAAAAGGCCAAGGACTTGGAACTGGCCCTGCCATACCCACTCCCACCTTCCAGGGCCCAAAGGTCCTTACAGTCAGTGAGTCCCCCAGAGCTGCCACAACTTGTATATCTGCGGGTCTCAGGGCATGCACTGAAAGATAAGTGGGCATACTTGAGTCTGGGAAAGATGCTACAGGTAGAGTATGTGCTTTTGCTTTAAGCAAAACCAGAAACAAAATCTGCATGTATGTTTAGATCATGCAGAACCGGGGAGCCCAAACTGCCATGGAAACAGAAGTTTTATATGAGCATTACCGCATGAGAGACATGATAACCAAATCCTGCACCTGTGTCAGGCTGGGGCGAGAGGACAGAGAGACAGAATGCTGTTGTAGGGCAGCAAGTGGGGACAGAAGGGCAGGTGGAGCAGGATCCCACTTTAGTGCTGGTGGTCACATGAGAAGCCAGCTGTGACCTAAGTACCCAACCAGACAGGCAGTGGACCATACGAGACGCGCAGCAGGGCCTGATGTACAGTCCATTTAAATCTGGGTTCTAAATCCCTACAAGAATCTAAGAAATAATCATGTTGGGCCTTTCCCTGTCTTCAGGTCCTTTCTTCAGAGCCCAGAAAACGTTTCAGACTCTTCTGCAGGCAGAGCTTGAGGACACATGCCCACAGAGCCATCCATCTCATGGAACTCCTTGGCCCCACCCACCTCTGGGCTTTACCATCCCACAGGGTTGGGCTATACATGAGCGAGCTCACATGGCTCCTGTGAACCTGTGTCCTCCACCTGTGTCCTGCTAGGAGCTTGAAAGCAGGAGGATGGGAAATAGCTCCTGGCCCAGAATGCCTTGGGACCTGCTGGACATGACAATTCCATGGGACAGAGGGGAGCTAAATAGGTGCCCAACCCTGACGGGAAGCAAACACTGGTCATAACTGTCTCGAGTAGTTATACGAAGTATTATCTGAGTGCTCACTGATGTGTAAGGCCTTGTGGAGGGGTCTTGAATCCTAGTGTGTCATGAAGGCTTACCTGAGGTTGGGGGAGAGGCAGAAGGGGCTTTGTCTTCACATAGCATCCAGGTTCCATAGTCCTAAAGGCAAAGAATAAATGCCAGCATCTTACAGTTAAAGGGTGCCAGAGAAGCTGGTTGAGCATCAGGGTCATTCGGTAGGTGTTAAAAAAATATAGACCCCTGGGTTTTATATCTGGAGAGAGACTTCCAAGGGCCTTTGAAGAAGGCTCCCTAGGTGATTTTTAAAAAATATTTTTATTTTATGTGTATGAGTGTATTGCCTGCATGCATGAGAGTGCACCTGTGTCATGCAATGCCGCGGAGGTCAGAAGAGGGCTTCGGATTCCCCTGGAACTGGAGTTAAGGACGGTTCATAGCCACCATGTGGGTGCTGGGAATCGAACCTGGGTCCTCTGCAAAAGCAGTCAGTGCTCTTAACCGCTGAGCCATCTATCCAGCCCCCACTAGATGATTCTTAACACCAGCTAAACTGAGATCTGTTAATCTAGTTTAGATCTCTCCTTCATCCACGGCAAGACTCAGGGCTTTAACAAATGACCCACCTCACCCTCTTCTCCTCTCCCAGCCCTGTGAGGGGTTAGTTAACTTCATTAATTTTGGTGGGGCTGCAATTTGATTTGAATGGAACTCAGTCCTTTACTTTGTTGGACGGTGTGTATGGAAAGATGGTTTTACAAAAGGATATGACCCCTCTGGGCTTCCAGCTGAGAACTTTCACCCATTTTCCCACAGGCCTTACTGGGTCAGTCCCCCTCAGGGGCTGCCCACTCCATTGTCTGGTAAGCCAAAAGGAAGCTATGAGTAGGTACCTGTGCATTGTTCTTGTGAGTGCTCAGGAACTGCCAGGTCTGTGGGAAGAGGGGGTGAACAATGATAGTACGTGCACCAGCCTGGAAATGCCCCTTCCTAGACTCCCCAGCATCTTGTTCAGAGCCTAGACCCTTCCAGATAGATGGGCTACCAGGTGCTCCCTCCCAAGATGTACCAGGGTCTTCTCTGCAACCTGAACTTAACCCAAGACTTGGACTAAACTCTTAAGCAGCTACCAGGAATGCTCGTGTCTTCCCGCCAGCACTCAGCCTATTGACCGAGGAAGTTGGACCATATTTCTCTACCCAGTACCTTCCTAATAGTGTCCCTGTCACCCCAGGATGCCTTACCACCCCACACCCACTTTGCCCTGCAGCAGCCTGGGTACTTTCCTGTCCAGGTGAGAAAAAGCAGATTGCTTTTCCTTTCCTGACTCATGCAAGCCCTAGTCCAGCTGTTCCAAGCCAGAAGCCTAGGACCTTCTGGGTTCCCAAAGGGATTCATAGGACTGGGGACTGCAGCTTCAGAGCTCTAATAATCTTTCTGAGAATTTGGGTAGAAGTGCGAGTCCTGACATGCTTTTCCTTCTTGGTTATGGCCTGTTTTTCTAGTTCCATCTTTCAACTTACTACCCAACCCTCTACCCTCTATTCAACTAGACATCATCATGCTCAGTGTTGGTTCCTTGCTCTTCCCAGTTGGTCATAAGCCATTGGCTACATGAAGACAGACTATCCAGTCTCATCTGCCCTGGACATTCCCCTGCTCCTATCCTTCAGAAAAAGAGCTCCACACTGCCTTTGTGAAGGACAGGGGACAGCTCAGACTTGTGTCAGCATTCCTGACATGCAGAGACTTACTAGAGCCTTCAAGTCTCTTGAGGGGGGGTGTCATCATTCCTCTCTGCTCAATCAGAGGAGGTGATTTGGATGGTTAACTTGGAATACTGATGGGCAGGTAGGTGGGCAGAGAGGGGCTGGGGTGAGGATCTGGGCTGAAATGAACTTAGCAGTCCAACAAGAGCCACAACCTGGAGAAGATGCTGTATTCTGAGGGTGTTGCCAGAACAGTGCACTCTACCTTGTTAGGACACATGATAGGGGTCTTGATTTCAAAGTCATACTTTCTTGTCTTCTGGTTAACAGGTTCCAGCTAAACCAAGAAGCAGGAAGATGGGGGTGAGGAACAGGTGGCCAAGGTCATGATGGAGGCCAGGGATGGAGGAGGGAGGCAGGGGGAGGGAGGGCACAGGCAGTTGGACTGGGAGGGAGGATTCCTATCCCATAGCTCTTACCATGTTCTTCCAGAGGGCAGCAGCTACTCGGGCATGACCCTTGGCGCTGAAGTGGAAACAGTCTGGGGCAAAGAAAGAGCTGTCTGGCAAGCCATCCTGGTCACAGAGCAGAAAAGGAGGGGCAGTTACAGATATGTCAGAAGATGCAGCTGTGCTCCATCTGGGGGCTCCACCTATCTTCAATGCATGCTTTCTTTACCGGGGTCCATGGAACATCTATTTTTTCAAAGAACGGCTGTAGGACCACAGTGAAATCGTCCCGGGTGTCATAGCGCCTGCTCTCAATCAGCTGTTGAGTTCCTTTCTGCAGAAGGGGAAGGAGACAGGTTGGAACAGCTGTAGAACTGTAGCAAAAAATCAGCCCATATGTTACACCAATTACTCTCAGTCGGTTCCTTCTTGAGGGATGAAAGGGAGATGGGGCTGGGGGGTCCTTTCTGCATCTCTTCCCTGACCCAGAATGAAACAGAATCTGACTGTTGGATGAATTCAGCCCTCAGTAAAGTCTCAGCTGACCTGGGAACAGCCAGGTACCTTTGGGATTGAACCTAGTCTCACCCACTGACTCCCACCTCTGTTGTAACTGCATGCATCCAATTGAGGCTATGAAAACAGGAAAGAAAGACCTATGTTTATCGGCTTCACCCCCTTTTAAAGCTATTCTGATGAAAGACAGTGAGGGGAGGGGTAGATAGTATTTGATGAAGTGTCATTTTGGATAATCCTTACATTTATTTCTGTCTTTGTTCAGAACACCAAAAATGAATAAATAGCAGCATTTTTTTTGGGTGCATGGGTGCATGTGAGTGCTGCCTGAAGCTCTCAGAGTTGTTTAAGAGGATAAGGGAGAGGTAACCCTCACCATATCTGCTTGGGCTCAGTTCTAGAAAAACCAGTCACCCTACACTGGCTTCCACTCCTGGATTCTGCCATTTCACAGCTCACTAGAGTTTATAATATTTGGGGCTAGGACTCTGGGTAGAGAGAGAAGTCAGGCTTATGGCTGTGGGAATATTAGTGTGGCCATTTCTGAAGTCACTGTGTACTGTCTTTTCCCAGAATCAGCAGTCCCTCTATGCCTCTTGCTATTCAAACTAACCAGAAACTGTATAAGCTGTTATGGTTTGTACCCAAGAACCCCATCAAGTACAGGGCTGCTTTTCTCTCCTAGGGCAGGCAGGAGACTTCCTCACCAGAGTGACAGGTGCCTGCTCATGGCAAAGGAGGTGCAGCTGGAGAGTCCCCGGAGGGTAGGACACTGGCAATAAGAGGGTGAAGAATGAAGGTTCGTTTCTCTGGGTCTGGGCACCTGCTGCATGATGGCTAACTACAGAAAAGACTACACAGGGAAGGAAATTTCCCCAGGCCTGTGGACTTTTGAAGGATGATCCCTTCTGCAGACTATTTGTGGTCCACACTACAAAGGCCACCATTGGCCCCCTTTGAGTGACTGGCCAATTGCTTGGGAGAAAACTTAAAGCAGTCCAGGAGTCAGATGTCTGAAAGATTTGACAGAGAAAAGACTCAAAGGAACAACTGGCAAAGTTATCTCCTAACTGTGGACCACCCAGACCACCTGTTCCCAGGGAAGGGAGGACAGAGGGCGTGCAAGTGTAACCTCTCAGATTGTGCAGCTGGGTCAGAAGCTCAGCAGTTAAGGGCACTGGCTGCTCTAACTGAGGGCCTGGGTTTGGTTTTCAGCACCTAAATGGAGGCTAACAGCAGTCTGTAAGTCCAGTTCCAGGGATCTCACACCCTCTTTTGGCCTTGTGGTCATTGTCAATGTGGATATTGACATAGGCATACTTACATGCAGGCAAACACTAATACACATAAAACATGTAGATAAAAGCAGTTCAACGAATTGGGGTTTGAAACTAGAGCGATCCACCCTGAGATTTATTTCCATGAGACACCTGTTCATGACAAGTGGAAACATTTTTTTTCCATGTTCAGACCAGGAAATGGGATTCAGAAAAGTGTGTTCCATGACTTTGCTCTGTAGCTTCATGCAAACATGCAAAGAAGCTGCATCACAGCCCCTGCTGCCCTTGTATGTCTTTACATACTTTTTAACAGCACCCACTCAATCAGGGACAAATGACTCTCTGCCAGGCACAACAAAACCAGTCAAGAGTCCTGCACAGTGGTAGAACCCCTTCCTGACTTACCTGATACTGCCGGTTCCTTTCAACCAAGGCAGCAAGTTCTGTGGCATTATCATCAAACTTCAGGACGCAAGGACACAAGATCCTGCCGACAAAACCAGAGAGATGCACCCACCCCAAGATCATCACCTGAATAAGTAAAACAAAAGCTCTCGCTTGAGACTCAGAATATATTTAAGATGAAGGCAATAGGGATCAGGGAGGGTTTGTTGACTGGGCCAAAGAAAGCCATAGAAAATGTCCATGACCTGACTTTGCTCTTGAAAAAGAAATCATTCCTTCTGACATCTGTAAAGTGACTTCTACAGAGGTGTGTCACCCAATGGCAGTCTGAGGCCAGTGCTGTGCAGGGAGGTCTACCTCCTTCTAAACAGTAATAGTGACAATAGCAATAGTTGTTACTTTACATTACTTCTTAACTGTGTCAAGCACTATGAGAAGAATTATATGTATCAACATGTTGAAATCGTCCAGCATTTCTAGAAGTGGAGCTCTAGCTCATTTTATAGATGAGAAAATCGAGGCTGATGTAACCTGTAATCCTAGTTGCCTCAGTGGCTAAAGCAGGAGGATCATGAATTTGAGACCAGTTTAAGCAACTTAGCAATATACTGTCGCAGCATAAAAAATAAAAAGGAGGCTGGGAATGTGGCTTAGTTTGTAGAGTACCTGCTAGCATGCATAAAGCCCTGGGTTCCATCCCCAGCGCCCCCAAACAGGGCATGTATGCCTGTAATCCTGATGCCTGTTCACTCTACGAGGTGAACACAGGAGGATCAGAAATTTAAGGTCACTCTCGGCTACATGGTGAGTTTGAAGTCAGCCTAGGATACATGAGACCCTGTCTAAAAAATAAAAAGGGCCAAGAATGTAGCTCAGTAGTAGAGCATTTCCCTAAAGGTGCAAGGCCCTGAGTTTAATCCCTAGTACCATGGGTGGCTGTGACAGCCAAGGCTCAGAGTGGTTATGCAACTTTCTCAAGGTCACATAGCCATATAGATAGTGAGGAGAGCTGGGACTTGAACTTGTGTCTCTCTAATTCTGAACTTGAGTGCTTAGTCCCTGAATTAAACTGCTTCTATCTGGTCTACAGTTCTGCTATGCTTGGCCATCTAGCAAATCTGGGCTTTTGGCCTAGGGGATAAGGTGATAGTAGTTCAGATGGCTCAGCATAGGCGTAGCACCACTGAGGAGGCCACTGAGACCGAACAGCAGAGGCAGAGAGTACAGTCACAGGTCGAAGTGGCTCTGAATTCATCAACTCTGACATTCAGTGACTTGGCCGTTTCCCATCTTCAAATGGACTTGGCAGATGCCTCCTCTGAACTTCTAATTTTAATCTCTGCAGTGACCAGTAGCAGGAGGCTTTTTGGAGAGCTGCTCTGAAGTGAAATGAATACACTGAACCCCCTGCATGGCCCAGTGACTGGAGAAAGTGGGAGCCAGCAGATGAGTCAGCAGTTGAAAATAGCATGCCTGACACCAGCTGTGTTAATAGGCACGTGTTGCTGACAGCTAGCCTGTCTCTGCTCACAGTACCCTGAAGCCTTCTCCAGGGAACCTGTGCAGTCTGCCCATACCCCCCTAGGGAAGGTTTGGTATGGATCCCCAGGGATCATCCTGCATATCCCTTAATTTTCAAGAGCAAGCCTGGCCCTTGTGAATTATTCATTCAGTTATTCAGCAAACAGTCCCTGAGCCCCTACACTGTGCTAGCAGTGACTCAGAGCTCACAGGCTATGGGGGATAATTACCACACAGCAGTGACTAACAACCACATGACATGCTCAGGGATGTGATGGGGGCTTATACAAAGATCCATGGCTAGGGAGGAAGGTTTGCATAGCTTCTATAACCTGGGCAAATGGTGCAGAAGAGGACTTTCAGGAAAGAATCTGTGGGAAGTGGTCATGCTTCAGTTAGAAGAATGTCTTGCTCCTGAGGGCCAGGAACTTGCATGGTGCTAGGGGAGGAAGCCATCTTTGTTTGGTATCTGGAGGCTGAGGGATGAGGCCAGCCTCTTAGGAGGGTCCTCTGAGGACTCAAGTGCTCTGTGTTCTGGGGAAGATTGTCCTCTGGACTCTGTGGATTCTGATTTTGTTCCTTTCTCTTCTAGAAAGTGACAGTGGCCCTGTATTTGTGAATGTCCAACCTGGAGTACACACACTAGCCAGAAACACCATCTACCTTGGTAGTGGGCCTCTGGGAGGTGGTGGGGAAACTCTGGACATGCTATGCAATAGGTTTTAGCAGCAGCAGTGGGTTGAGGGCACCTTGAGCCATCTCTGTTGCCTACCCTTGCTAACACCTTCTCTTCCCTCTCTAATGGATGAAGGGTGTCCTGTGGCTACCATGGTAACCAAAATAGGGTGAAAGTCCAGAGGTTGCTGAGGTCTATACTGATTTTTAAAAAAACAAAACTCCTACCAGTGAAATTTACCAGATGACTTTATATTCATACTCAGGTACTAAGGATCCAAGTGTAACCCACTGTGACTAGTAATCATCAGATACATAGAGATTAAAGGCACATGTGCAAACATCTACGTGTTAGTATTCATGCTCAGATGCCGAGGAGCTCAGAAGGTGGGCAACTGTGACCAGTGATAGTCATGTATATAGAGATTAGAAGTGCATGTGAAAACGTCTCAATGTCAAGAGCCCTGAAATGAATTTTTCTGTATGAAACTGTGTGTTTTGACAACGCAGTGGAGATCTTTTTTAAACGTTGGAACCTCATTTAATTTTATGTCTTATAGAGTTTATAATGAGTTCAATATTGTATAACTGTATTAATTCAACTGTGAACCTAAAAATTTACAACCACTTTTGAAAGAGATGTATCATTGCTCTGGAGTGTTACTGAATATATTAGATGAAATGCTTCTTCTAATCATGTGGTTATTAAATTTAAAAAAAACAATTAAAAAATAATAAAAACTCCTCAGAGGTCCCCCAGAGAGACCCTTTCGAGTTAGAATAGAGGTGGTCTCTGCACTCCTCATTCTCTGCCCCAGGGTTTCCTAACAAATCTGCTAAAGTCCACAGCCCCTTCAGGAACATGAAAGAAGTTTCTTCCAGACCTCAGGACCAGCCGTGGGCAGTTGACTTGTTGTTCCTTGTACAGTTCCCTTAGGTTGATGATCTCAAGTGCCTCCACCATGTTCACAAAGGCCCGGGGAACCTGAAGAAAGACAGAATCAGTCACCAGGACCATAAGAATAGGGCAGCATCAGCTTCTCCCATGGGCTTGGGACCTGCTCTCTAGCTGGCACTCAGGCCTTGTGACTTCCTCCTGGTTCAGTCCACTTCCTTCAGCTCCCCCTCCTCTTTTATCTCTGCTTCTCCACTGATGCTAGTGCCTGGAGGTTTCTGGGGACCAGACAAGAGAGACCTGCCAAGAAGTTTCAGCAGAAACTAGAGATGCTTTCAGGCCTCTGAGGCCACAGATGAAGGCTATGACAGATCCGCTCAGAGACCTATATGTGGTCTAACCTCCATACCTCGGCATGGAGGATGTCCAGGGCTTCCCTGATGCTGTTCGTGAAGTTCTCAGGAGAATGGTGAACCTGCAGGCAGAGGAAGAATTGCTTGAGCCCCATGCAAGATCTTATCTCTTTACTGACCAGGGCTGTTTCTAATCTTGGCTTCTTCTCTTCCTGTATCTCAGAGTTGGCAATATTTAAATAGATTTGTCTTTGGGGGCCCTAGCTGTAATCCTTGGGCTTACTATGGCCATGGCCCTTAGGAAAATGCCCTTCCTTTTTCATAGATCCATGAAAAGCTCTGAAGTGATTTCATATTGGCTAGGTGTAGTCTTAGCTACAGCATATCCCATCTCTGGGCCCATCAGAAAAGGGGGTATTGGAGCAGATGACCCTAAGATCTGCAGTGTGAACAGTCTCTGGTCCTACTGCCTGCTCTCTTCCTGTGCTGTTGTCACTAGAGGACATCTGGCTGAGTTTCATGTACCTACAGCATCACATCTACCTCAAGCAGGAGGAAGAGGGAGTCCTGTGGACCCTACAAACACAAACGCTCTTTAATTCTTATTTCTCCTGATCTTGATACCAGTGGTTTAAAAACTGTGTACATGTATGTGTATGCATTTGTGAGTACATGGATATATGCAGGTGGACATCTACATGTATGTGTATGTGGAGGCCAGAGGTTGACATGAGGGGTCTTCCTCAGTTGTTCGCCACCTTATTTTTTGACAGAGTCTCTCACTTGCTGACTGAGATAGACTGGTTGGCCAGCAGGTCCGAGGAATACTTCTGTCTCTACCTTCTGGGATTACAGGTGTGTGCCAACACACCTAGCTTTTCAGGAGAGTGCTAGAGATCTGAACTCAGGTTCTCATGCTTGCATAGCAGACTTTACTGGCTATGCCATCTCTCTAGTCCCAGTTTTCAAACGTTAAAGAAAGCAGGGGAACTCCTTTTCTTGATGCAATCTAACCAAGAGCTCTACTTTACAAAACAGATTAAAGCTGTGTCATGCAAGAAGTTGGGAGGGGGCCATGGTTCAAGATGCTCCTTTGTCCCCAGCAGCCTTTCAGATCTCCTGTGAGTCCTTTGGATCTCAGCTCAAATGTCCCTAGCCTTAGGTGAGTTTGATACCAGGAAAGTGGGTTATGAAGGGCTGGGGGACAGATCACCCCCTGAGCATGAGCTCACAGGCAAGATCACTATCCACTTCTATAGTATTCTTCTGGTCCCCTCACTTCCTGCCCAACATATGTATCTTTAAGTCCCAGCTGGAAAGTCTCCTGCACTGTGCTCTGATAACCCACATGCTCCCCATATACCAAGTTTTCACGGCAACTTTGATTTCAGACTCTCTTATTTACTCAGCATCAGAACCCCATGGTGATGTCTTGCTCATGTTTTGGCGAGTTGCCTGTTTCTCTGGCTGAGGGAACTCCCTGAGGACAGAGCCTGAATTCCATTTGCCACTGTTGACTTCTGAGCACAGTGCCTGGCACAGGCATGGGTTCAAGTTTCACAATGGTATGGACTAAGGGGTCTCCTTTAGAGACCTTGGGGTTTGTAGGACAGATACATGTAAGCAGTCACAGAGCAACAGCCTCAGCTATGTGGGTTTCCCATCAGACTTGATTCTTGCCTAATCACCTTCCTAGGAAATCACTTTCTATAGTGACAGCACAAAGGTGGAGATGGCAAGACTGCTAAGCACTGCAGAGAGGAAATGACTCATGACTATCCATGAAAACTAGCTAGATTTTTCTAGATATTGCAGTGTTATCTTGGCTTCTAGCATGATATTATCAAGCTCTCTTGATAGGAAGGAATCAATCTTCCAACCAATCCTGCTGTTTTCTCTCCAGGCAGGTGAATGTCCTCTGGGTCTTAGGGTTATCCAAGGTTGGATCCATGCCAAGGCATGGACAAAGTCCTGACCCAGCTGTGCTGCTCTAGGAGCCTATGGTCAACTGTGGAAATTCTTTCTGAGGCTGAGTCCAGAGTGAAGGGCCTGAGGACCTACCGGGTCATTACAGGAATCACAGAGGTCATTCCCTCCTATAAACACAGTGATTATCTTCCAGTCTTCCTGAAAATTTATTGTCTGAAATGAACAGAAAACAAACAGGGTCAAGTAGAGAAAATTCAAAGTACTGAACTCTCCAAAGGGAGGGCCCCACATACCAGAGAGTTCAAACTTTCTGTTCTTTGGTTTGGGGGCTTCTGGGGTCATCACTTCTAAATGGTTTGTTGTTTTAGATGGGGTCACTGGACTTCCTGTGGCTCTGTGCACACAGTAGCACACAGTCAATCTCCAACCACTTTGGTGGGGAGAGATGATGCCCTCTGAGTTTTGCCCTGTCTCTTTAGCATGACAAGGAAATGGCTAGGAGATAATAGATCCCAACCCTGAGAAGGAAAGGCTGTAACAGAATCATCTAGAAATCTGGAGTTCTCAATTTGCCTTGTGGAAGAAATGATTCCTCAAGTGGGAGCTTTCTTAACTTAGATATTCACATGAGTTAAAGCTCCCCATGGAAAGAATCCAGTTGGAGAGGTTGGCCAGAGCAACATGGAGGCTCCAAGCATATGCTCAAGAGAGTTTACCACCTCCGGAATCTACCTCCTCCACAAGAGACCTAGAGAAGTATTTGACACCGAAGGGATGGAAGGGACATGGCCACAAACACTGCACGCACTGTGGCCTAAGGATAGCAGTGACACTCACAGCCTCCTAGATTGTCTCTGGCCTGGAGAGCTTTGTACTCTGACCTCTGCTTCCAAATGAGGATGGAAGAAGAAAAAATGAAAAAAAAAAAAAAAGGAAAAACCAGAAAGGTTCAACTGTATAGAAATATTCTGAAACTTCCTGTAATTGATTTTGGAGTATATTGCTTTATATACTAAGTAACCAACTCTAACCTCTGTCTCGACATTTTATCTACCTGGAACCAGCTCCCCAAACAGGTCTGCATTGAGCCTGCATCTTCATCTGTCATCCAAGAGAGCACCTCAAGCTCATCTTTTAGAGCCCAGCTCACAAACCTCAATCTCCTTTCCTAGTCCTTCCAAGGACTACTTCCTAGTCTACTTCTAAGTAGAGGACCTATCCCTTTTGTGGCCTACTGTACCCGATGCATAACCTTCTTTATAAAGCACAAATCAAATGTTTCATAGTCTTGATTTTTCATGTTGTCTCCCCTCTAAGCTCCTGGAGGACAGGCCTATACCTTCTCCATGTATTTATTTGTAGCCCTAGACTTGGCTCTTCATAGCTCTCTAGCTGATTGACCGCACAAGTGAATGGGAACCCTCTTTGCTGAGGAACAAAGATTTAGGGTTCAGATCTGCTAGAAACCCGGCCTGACTCCTCTGCATCTCTCACCCCACTGCTGACTTCCCTGTGTCTGTGGAAACACAGGGCCAGAGAGTCAAAGCCATGTGAACCATGCTTGTTGTGGTTGCTCAGAGGTCTTTGGCTCTGAGGACTCCTTCCTGAATGTCTCTACTAGTCATGCTTAGATCATCTCCTGTCTGGGAAGTCCTATCTTGAATCTTCTAGACTCACCTTGTCATTCTTCATCAGGTTCACCAGCTTGATGGCCTGGGCGACTAAGCCACTGTGGGGATAGGCAGTAGGGAGTTAAGTAAGGAACAGAGGTTAGAAGAGCAACTTAGCAGAGAGAGAGAGAACCAGCTGGAGAGTGGGAAAGCAGGACTGAATGCCATACAGAGCTTCTTCTCCACTCACGCTCTACTGGGGAGGAGTGTCTGCCTGGGAAGGGCAGAACCCTGCACGTTTGAGGGCTTGGCTTTCAGTAGGGCTACTTTTCTGGTTGGCATAATTAATGATTTTTTTCCTCTTCCAATCCAGGTTTGTTCAAGGCAAACACAAAAGGTTTGTATGTGAGTATTTCACATCATGTGTAGATCAGCACATACCCATGTTGGCAGATACTATGGCCTCAGCCTTTTCACCTTCAAGGTGACATGGCCAAATCAGACACATCTGGCTTGGACACTTTGCTGCCTGTTGTTCTTGTGAGAAAATGACTCAAAATTTCAATTTAAAAAGACTGAAGGAGTGGGAATATAGCATATGCAAGGCCCCAGGCTTGATCCCCACTCTGAAAAACAAAGACTGTAAAATAGGGATTAAACCTACTTGTAGAGGGTCATTGTGGCCACAAATGAGATTGGCAAAGCATCCCCTTGGGTAAGATTCATTACTGTGCTAGACAGCATGGGTCTGAATTGCAGTTTTATAGCTGATGGAATCGGAGTCCTTGGCAGAACATTTCACCTTACAAACCCAATATTTTCCTTTGTGAAAAAAATGATGGTACTCAGTATGCCCGATTTGGCCTTTCACTGCTGCAACAGAAAGCTAATCTACCCATCTGGACCTCCCTCATCTGTTAGAAAAGACCAATGGAATTAATGTCTAAAATCATCAACAAAGCCTTGATTAAATTTTTTTGATAAATTTGTTTTCATTTTATGTGTATAAGTGTTTTGCCTGCATGTATGTAAGTGCACTGGTGGCATGCAATGCCCGAAAAGGCCAGAAGAGGGCATTAGATCCCCTGGAGCTGAAATTACAGATGTTTGATAGCAACTATGTGGGTGCTGGGAATCGAACCTGGGTCCTCTGTAAGAGTGACCAGTGCTCTTAACCACTGAGCTGTCCCTCCAGCCCTGAAACAAAACTTTTCTGTTTTCTATCATTTATTGGTAGGTAAAAAGTTTGAGATTTTAGAGATTTTTTAAAATGCTATAGTGTTTTCAGTACAGAAATCAACATTCACAAAACAAGTTTGAATATTAAAAGGTGAAATCAGCAGATGGAAAAGAAACAGACTGGGTAAACTGATCTCCCTTGTTTACATGGCTCAGAAGTACTAAGAGCAGAGAACTCACTCCTTCAGTATGATGTGCATCTATGTCCTGTTTCACTTCCAAGTAAAACTTTCAAGTATTGACAGAAAAAGACCACTAGGGCTGAAGCCCTGGCTCAGTGGCAGAGTACCTGCCTGTCATAAGTGAGCACTGGGTTCAAGGTCCAGAACTGAACAGGGGGAAATAAAAAGACTGAAAGTAAAAAATGATGGTAGATTTACCCTCTTCATGGAATTGAGAGAATTAAATGAGGTGTCATGTAAAGAACTTGGGGCCTAACACAAGGCAAGCATCCTGAGAATTGTTTCTGCCCTCACTACCACCATCACCATCCATAGAGTCCCTGGCACTGTGCCTAACAGGAAATATCAGTTGTCCCCCACGTCCCATTTTAACTTCTAGCCCAATTGCTCTGATCTTGGCTTTAGTATACTAGGTATCAGATATGTGTGTGTGTGGTGTGGGGGGGACTTTGTGTCTGTCATCTACCCTGTTTGAGTCTGGGTTTCCTCCTCCATGAATCTAAAGTTATCAGATGTCTGCTCTTTCTATGGACCAGAGTTTGGGATGATTACTCCACTGCTCAGAGCCTTAGTTTTTAATCACTGATAAAACATGGGAATCAACCCTCTATCCTGTCCACTTCACAGAGTTACTGTATGGAACACAAGGGCAACAATCATGAAGGCACTCTGTAACTTGGGCACTGCTATGTGCACATGAAGGGAGTGCTGGATAGCTTCAGTTGTCAACTTGACACACCTGGGAGGAGGGAATCTCAACTGAGGAATTTCCTCCATTGGATTGCCTGTGGCTGTGTCTGTAGGGTGTTTTCTTGATTGTTGAGTGATTGGGGGGGCAGTCCACTGTGGGTGGTGCCACCCCTAGACAGGTGGTCTTGTACCATATAAGAAAGCAGGCTGAGCACAGGCCAGGGGAGAAAGCCAATAAGCAATACTCCTGCATGGTCTGTGTTCCAGGTTCCTGCCCTGAGTTCCTGCCTTGGCTTCCCTTGATGATGGACTGTAATATAAGCCAAATAAGCCCTTTCCTCCCCAAGTTGATTTTGGTCTGTTTTTAGCACAGCAATTGAAAGCAAACTAGGACAAGGGGCTATGAGCAGGCCTGGAATAAAGCCTGAAGGACATAAGGCCAGACCCTGCAGTCAAGTTGATGTCTTGTTCAGACCATATAGCTTCTTTGTGCTGTAATTTCAAGTGTAACATGGGGACAACAGCCTTTCCAGCTCTTCTCTACCATCCAGATGCCTTCCTCAAGGCCTAGGAAAAAGTAGGGCCGGAGACTCAAGGCCACATGAACCATGCTTATTGTAGTTTCTCGGAGGTCCTTGACTCCATGTCTCCCTGATCTAATCATGCTTAGAACACCCTTTCCTCTTATGCCACCAGCTGATACATACCGGGGAAAAGGAAAATTATGTTCATATTAAAGTAAGCTAAAAATTTAAAGTGATAAATCACACTAGCCTTTCACTGATATCCCTTTAAAGGAAAATCAGCTCCCAAATTCATTCTAAAACCTATTAGGCTTTGCATGACCCATCATTCCTATAAGGGATAAATGAGAAAGGTACTTAGGCGACTTATAGCTCCAGGACAGTCTTGAGATCTGAGAAACCACTAGGGAATCTAGGAACCAAAACACAAGACTCTTGAGACCTATATAGAGAAGTGTGATCTGTGTTTACTCTGGGAGAAAAAATTGGATTAAACAGAAAGTATCTTTTTCACTTATTTTTTCTTGATTGTGTCTAGTATTTGTATGTTCAATGACCCAGAAACAAACTCCAAGAAACATTTAAGGCTTTGAATAGTAGTGTAATGAAGCTGGATGGCCCAGGAGAGCTAACCTGCTATCTTTCAGGGATCAGCAGCTCAGTATCCATGGAGCACAACATAGTGATTTCTGAGCTCACTAGTAGTTCTCCAGGTGAGCCCTGCACTTGTACTGGTTCCAGGACCACCATCATGACCCAATACATGCAAGTGTACAGTTCACCATAAGATGGTGTCAAGGCTCACAACCTCCATGAGAGAGACAGGCAACAGCCTTATCTCTTAGCATCAGAGTACTATAGAGGCCAGAGAAAAAGTAGACTGAGATTCAGGGTCTTACCTCCCATGCCAGAGTTTTTCCTATGACATAGGAATCACACAGAGTGCAGAGTGCAGAGTGCAGAGCCCCAAATGCCCCTCTGAGGAAGGCAGGAAGTGTGAGGTTCAAAAACAGAGGACTCAAGTTTGGCTCCCAGAATCCATATTGGGTAGCTTACAACTGCCTGTAACTCCAGCTCCAGGATATCTGACTCCTCTGGCCTCTAAGGGCACCTGTGATCACATGCACACACACACACACACACACACACACACACATACACACAATTAAAAATAATAAATCTTTAAAAGAATAGAGTGGTAACATGCTAACAAGTGAGACTGTGTGAACCTCTTATAGCCACTGTTTTGTGAGGGCATGAGGTTTATAGATGAGGCCAGGTGGTCTGCATGAAGCACATCAGAGTCTGTGACTAGCCTACCTTAGCAGATCTCTGTGTCATAGAAAGGGATGATTTCAAGAGAGCATATTCCAGTCTCTTACCCTGACTCCTCACCCAAACCAAGCCTCTCAGTCTGCAGCCAAAATCCCAGTCTAAGCCAAACTCCCGGAATCCCTACTCCACTCCTTCCCAGTCTCCACCCTCTCCAGGACACTCCAGCTCACTCAGCTTTGGCTCCTGCCACAGCCTGGTTGAAAGAAGCTCTAGCAGTGTTTTCTTTTCCAGTGCCAACAGAGAAACCCTTCAAGGAAGGATTGAATTCCCGGAGGATATCTGGAAACATAAAAAGGCATGTTTATTAATGGGGTACCAAAGCAATCTTCCAAGTCCCTTCTTTTGCTGTTGTTATTTTGAGATGAGAACTCACTATGTAGCCCAGGCTATCTTCAAACTGGTGATCTTCCTGCCCCAGTCTCCTGAGTGCTAGGATTACTGGCGTACATTACCACACAGAGCCTTCAAGTTCCTTTGGTGAGCCCTACTGAGTGTAGAGGATGAAGCACAGTGCCCCCCCCCCATAGTCTTACCTTACCTTCATGTTCCCCCAGCATGGGACTAGAATGCTGAGCAGGCTGAGACTTAACATCTTGTGCACACACAGTAGGCGTCCAACAAATTATCACCAAATAAATACAACTCTGGGATTTTTGGGGGGTGGGGCAGGGTCTCACTGTGTAGCCCGTCTGAATCCTGAGTGCTAGGATTAAAGGACGTGCTACTACACTTGGTTATTTTCTCATAAAATTTTGTCTTTCTAAAAAAATGAAAGCTATATTGAGATATAATTCATACTACAAAATCCACCAGTTTATATATATGATTAGATAGGTTTTTGCATATTCAGTTATGTAACACCACCATAAATATTAGAATATTTTCATTGTCCCCAAAAGAAAAGTGTACCCATTAGCAGTCAGTCCTCATTCTCCAAACCTAAGGCAACTAACAATTTATTTTGTGTCTCTAAAGAGTTGCTTATTTTGGACATTTCATATAAATAAAGCTTATAATACAATATGTCACTTGTGGCTTGTACCTTTCACTCAGCATAATGTTTTCAAAGTTCACCATGTTGTAGCATACAGCATTTCATTACTTTATTACTGAATGAGATTCCTTGTATAAATAAACCACATTCTATTTATCCATTCCTCAAGTGATAGGCATTTGGACTGTTTTCCACTTTAAGGATGCTTGAAGAATGCAGTGATGAATATTTGTGTGCAAGTCTTTGTGTGGATTTCTTTTGGATATATAATTTGGAGTAGAATTGCTAGATCATATGGTAACTCTACTTAATCTTATAAGGAAATACCAGGACTTTTTCCAAAAATTGGCTACACCGTTTTACATTCCCATCAGCAGTGTGTTGAGGGCTCCAATTTCTCTACATCCCTCACCCACATTATCTTTTTATTCTCCATATGCTACTGGATATGGAGACACATCTCACTGGTTTTGACTGACACCAGTGGCTATTGATATTCAGTATCTCTTCATTAGTAAATATTTTCTCACTCTTTGGGTTGGCCTTACACGTTTTTGTTTTTGTTTTTCTTTTGATCTTTTTGAGACAGGGTCTCCCTGTAGACCCAGCAGGCCTGGAACTCGCTAAATCAGGCTAGCCTCGAACTCACAGAGATCTGCCTGCCTCTGCCTCTCAAGTGCTGGGATTAAGTGCGTGCGCCACCACGCCCGGCACCCTTACTTTCTTCATGGTATTCTTTGAAGCACATTATCTTTTATTTTTTTCCCTTGCCATTTGTGCTTTTGATAACATATCTAAGGAGGCTTGGAAACCAGGTCGTGAAAATTTGCTTTTGCAATTTCTTCTAAGAGTTAATTTTTAGGTTTTACATTTAGGTCCGTGATTTACTTTGAGTTAATTTTTGTAGATGGTGTGAAACAAGAATCTCACTTCAGGGAGGCCCCGCGCAGTCTGGCCAGTTTGCAATGCGAGGTCTGTGCAGCACGTGGCCTTGCTCGCTCGGGTCGAACCGCCCGCAGCTGCCATGTCCATGGACATCAGCAAGTGGGCTGGGCTGCTGAGCCTGCAGGAGGTGGATGAGCCGCCCCAGCACCCGCTGCGGGTCTCCTACGCCGGGGTGGAGGTGGACGAGTTGGGCAAAGTGCTGACGCCTACCCAGGTTAAGAACAGACCCAGCAACATCGCGTGGGACGGCCTTGACCTGGGGAAACTGTACACCTTGGTCCTCACAGACCCGGATGCTCCCAGCAGGAAAGACCCCTAATACAGGGAGTGGCACCATTTTCTGGTGGTCAACATGAAGGGCAACGACATCAGCAGTGAAACCATCCTCTCAGACTATGTGGGCTCCGGGCCTCCCAGTGGCACAGGCCTCCATCGCTATGTCTGACTGGTGTATGAGCAGGACAAGCTGCTGAAGTGCAATGAGCCCGTTCTCAGCAACCGGTCTGGAGACCACTGTGGCAAGTTCAAGGTGGCGTCGTTCCACAAGAAGTACCACCTTGGAGCCCCGGTGGCGGGCACGTGTTACCAGGCTGAGTGGGACGACTAATTCCCAAGCTGTATGAGCAGCGTCTGGGAAGTAGGGGCCACAGTGCCTGCACGGTCCTGGGGACACCGCAGTGTTGTCAGGTTCAACAATGCATGTCATTCCTCCTCATTCCCACCCCTCCCCACATGGGTCCTGAGCTGTTAGGATAGTGGTTTAGGGTGACTCTTCTGCTGCCCATCCTTAAGATTTTAGGTACATGTCCCAGGTTACGTTTTGATTGATTTAATCTCCATCTAGGGGGATATTTGATCCTTGGTGGACTCATTATGTCGTTAATAAAAGAGTAGCAACTCTGAAGGAAAAAAAATCCAGGTAAAAAGACCAGGTGTACAGAAAGAGGGCAAAATATGGAGGTGTTTAAGGTGGTTTAAAAATAAGGGACAGGTTTTGCTGCTCCTGCCTCTGTTCAGAGTTCAGAGCCCTGAACAGTGGCCACATCTTCTGAGGTGTGGTTTTTATGGTCCTATCTCCCCAGGCTTGCATCTGGGCTAAGACCATGGCAGTTCAATCAGGTGGCCAGATATCTGTGTCCTGTGGCCCCTTTAAAAAGCTTGGCTGGAAAAAGCAATAGGGACATGGCTCTGTTGTGTCGAGGCCTGACCCACTGCAGAACTGGGTGACAGTTGTCAGGAGTATAAATCAGTGCCTGCTAAGTCAGCTGCTTCTCATCCATGTAAGGAACGCTAATCTGGAGTTGCTCAATGTTGTGTTAATTCTGTTTGCTAATCTCAAATAATAGTAATAAAGCATCAGATCCAGGAAAAAAAAAAAAAAGAATTTCACTTCATTCTTTTGCATATAACTCTCCAGTTGTCCCAGAGCCACTTCCTGGAAAGACCATCCCTCATACCCATTGAATGGTCTTAGCTTCTTTGTTGAAAATGAGTTAGCCAAAAATATGAGGGCTTATTTCCAACTCTCAATTCTACTAGGTTGATCTCTTTGTTATTTTTTATTTTTGTCTTTTTGAGGTCTCCTTGTAGCCCCAGCTGTCCTGGCACTCACTATGTAGACCAGGCTGGCCTCAAACTCACAAAGATCCACCTGCCTCTGCCTCCCGAGTGCTGGGATTAAAGGCGTGCGCCACCACGCCTGGCCTGTTTATTCTTTTAAAAAAAAATATTATTTAAATTTTAGGTGTATGAGTGTATTGCCTGTGTGTAAGTAAGTGCACCCATGTTGTGCAATGCCTGAGGAAGTCAAAAGAGGGTGTCAGATCCCCTGGAACTGGAGTTATGGATGGTTGTTAGCTGCCACGTGGGTACTGGGAATTGAACCTCAGTCCTCTGCAAGAGCAGCTAGTGGTCTTAACCGCTGAGCTATCTCTCCAGCCTTGATCTGTCTATTCTTATGCCAAGGTTCTACTGTTCTGACTAGTATACTTTTATAATAAGTTTAAATTGGGAGGATGAATCTGACAAATTAATTTTTCCTTGCTTTTTTTAAGTTAGCACAGAGGGTAATGGGTTTTATTATGTTATTTTTCAAATATGTGTGTCATATACTTTGTTCTAATTTGTCCTTCTTCCTTACTCCATCACAGTCCTTTCCCCAGCCTGCTCCCTTCATCTCTCCCCAGATCCCTGCTCCTGCTTTCCTGTCATGTGTATTCCATTACCCTCTCTTTCCCCCTCTCTTGTGGTCCTCTTTCTAGTTCCATCACATGTGCTGTTTGGAATCTAGTTTCTACATATGAGAGAAAACATAGCATTTGTCTTTCTACGTCTGGCTCCTTTTGCTTCATGTAATAATTTCCAGTCCCATCAATTTTCTTTCAAGAGTCATGATTTCATTTTTCTTTATGGTTGAATAAAACTCCACTGTGTATGTGGTATGTGTACATCCTTTTCTTTATTCATTCATCTGTTCATGGACATCTATGATGGGTCCATTTCTAAGCTATTATAAATAAGTAGTGTAACAGTAAACATGATTATGCAAATATGTTTGTGGAAGCATTTTCCTAGTCCTAGTTTATTCAAGGGTTTTTGTTTTTTGTCTTTTGGGGATAGGGTTTCCCTGTAGCCACAGTTGACCTGGAACTGGCTATGGAGACCAGTCTGGCCTTGATCTCAGAGATCCGCCTGCCTCTGCCTCCTGAGTGCTGAATTAGAAGCATGCAGCACTACACCTGACTCTTAGAGCTTTTATCATAAAAACGTGCTGAACTCTGTTGAAATATTTTTCTGCATCTATTGAAATGATCTTGTGACTTATGACCTTACTGATTTGTATATGTTGATACATCCTTGCATCCCTGGAATGAAACCAACTTGATCTTGGTGTTAATGATCTTAATGTGTTCTTGCATTAAATTTGCAAAACTGTTTTTTGTTATTTGTGTTTGAGCTGCAAGAATGTTAAGAATTTTTGTATCTGTGATCACGAGGGAAATTAGTCTATAGTTTTTGCTGCAATCATGTTCTTATCCAGTGTTGGTTCAGGGTAATTCTTGCTTTGTTGAATGAGTTAAGTAATGTTCCTTCTCTTTCTGTCTTATGGAATGGTTTCAGGAACATTGGTGTTAGCTCTTCTGCAAAGGTTTGGTAGGATTCATAAGGAAATCTGTACCGTGCTGCACTTTTCTGCACTCGGAGACTTTTTATTATTGCTTCAATCTCTTGATTGTTATGGGTCTGTTGAAGCAGTTTGATTTTAATTTTAGTAGGTCATATATGTCTAGGAACTAAACATTTCTTTTAGATTTTCTAGCTCTTAGAATCTAAGTTTTCAAAGTATTCATTAATGATTTTCTGGATTCCATTGGAATCTGTCATAACCTTCCTCTTCTCATCTCTAATTTTATTAATTTGGGTCTTTTCTCTCCTTCCTCTGGAATTTGACTAGTGTTTGTCAATCTCATTAATTTTTTTTTTTGACTTTTTGAAGCAGGGTCTCCCTGTAGTCCCAGCTGGCCTGGAATTCGCTATGTAGACCAGGCTGGCCTCTAACTCACAGAGATCTGCCTGCCTCTGCCTCCCGAGTGCTGGAAGTAAAGGTGTGCGCAACCACACCTGGCTCTCATTAATTTTTTTAAAGAACGGACTCTTTGAGTTCCTGTATTCTTTTGGTTTCTGTTTTATTAACTTCTGTCCTGACCTTTGTTCCTTTGTGCCATCTGCTGCTTTCAGGTCTTTCTGTGAAAGCACTTGCTGCTGTAGATGCTCCTCTTAGAGCGGCCTTAGCTGTGTCCCAAGGCCCCAGTAAGTGTGCTCTCATTTTCAGTTGGTTCTAGGAATTTATAAATTTCCTCCTGATTTCTTCAGTAACCCACTCACTGGCCATTCAAGATTGTATTATTCAGTTTCCCTGTATCTGTGTAGTTTCTCTTGCTGTTGATTTCTAGTTTTATTACACTATGATCTAATAAGGTACAGGGATTATTTACATTCTTGTATTTGTTAATACTTGACTTGTGACCTAGAATGTGAACTAGAGAAGCTCACAGGCTACTGGAAAGAATGTGCATTCTGTAATTGTTGGATGGAATATTCTGTATACATCTATGAAGTGCATTTGCTCTATGGCACAGTTCAACTGTTTCTTTGTTGACTTTTAGTTTGGATGGCTGATTTAAGATGACAGAGGAGGAATAAAATTATCCACTATTAGTATACCAGGACCTATCTGACCTTTATGTCTATTAGTGTTTTATGAAACTGGAGCCCCACTTACTATATATATGTTATATATATGCAAATGTTCTCTCTTCTCCATAAGTTGTTCCTTCTGTTAATACATAGTGGTCTTTAGCTCTTCTGACTAATTTTGGCTTGAAGCCCACTTTATCAGATGTCCAAATAGCTACACCAGTTTATTTTCAGCTTCTGTTCATGTGATAGAGTGTCTTCAACCTTTGTCACTCAGTCTGTGGGTATCTATGTTTCTTGGCAACAAAAGCCAGTCGGATTTAGTATTTAAAAATCCAGTTTGCCAGTTTCCACCTCTTTATTAGTGAGTTATGGGCATTGCCATTTAAATTTATTGTTGAAGAAAATTTACTAATTATTTTCATTTTGTTGGTTGTTTTTCTGGTTGATTAGATTTTTCATTCTTTTCTTTCTCTCCCATTAGCATTAGGAATTTGTTGGTTACCATGTTGGGCATGATGGATTCCTTCCTACCTCTCCTTTGTTCATCTATTTCTCTCATGACATTAAAAATATTTATCTATTTTTATTTTTATATACATGAGTGTTTTGCCTGCTTGTATGTAAGTACACTCATGTATGCAATGCCCATAGAGGCCAGAAGAGGGTGTCAGATTCCCTGGAACTGGCATTACAGAGAGTTGTGAACCACAATGTGGATGCTGGGAACCGAACCCAGGTTCTCTGCAAGGTTCTCTTAATCTCTGAGCCATCTCCCGTCCCATGAAATGTATTCTTTCTTGTGCTATTGTGATTGAGACTGTCTTTCCTCCTCCTCTGAGTATAGTAGCATTCTTTTAAGCATCTTCTGGTAAGTGCTGGTTTGGTAATCTTGAATTGTTTTAGTTTGTGCTTATATTGAAATGTTATTTTTCCATTAATTTTAAAAGATAATTTTAATGAATATAACAATCTTTGTTGGCAGTGACTTACTTTCAGGGATTGAAATGTATCTTTCCATGCTCTCCTGGCTTTTAGGGTTGCTGGCAAGAGCTGTTGCTACTCTGATGTATTTGCCTTTGTGGGTGAGTTGGTATTTTCCCCTTACAATGATAAATATTCTTTTTAAAATTTTTGATATGTTGATGACAATACATTGTAGACACGTTCTGCTTTGGTCAGGTCTATTTGAAGTTCTAAATGCCCCAAGCATTTGAATATCTATTTTTTTCCTCTAGGTTTCAGAAATTTTATTTTGTAAATTTAATGGGCTAGATTCTGTATGCCTTTAGTGTCTATCTCAGATCCTTCTTTTATCCCTTCAATTCTTTTTTTTATTATTTCTATTTTATGTGCATGAGTGTATTGCTTGCATGTAGGTAGGTGCACCTGTGTTGTACAATGCCTGCAGAGGTTGGAGGTGGGCATCAGATCCCCTGGAACTGGAGTTACAGACAATTGTTGGCTTCCATGTAGGCGCTGGGACTCGAACTTGGGTCCTCTGCAAGAGCAGTCAGTGCTCTTAACTGCTGAGCCATCTCTCCAGGCCCTATTCCCTCAATTCTTAGATTTGGCTTTTTGACCATATTCTAGACTCCTTAGACATTGTAGCAATGCCAATTTATTTTTCTTATTGATATTTGAATGTAGCATTTCCTCCATCTTGTCCTCTGTCCCCGATATTCTTTATTCTGCCTGGTTAAATCTATTGGTGATGCTTTTATCATGCTATTTGATTTACTGAATTTTTTTCATTTCTAAGAGTTCTATTTTTTGTTTCAAAATCTCAATTTCCTTGCCGATTTTTTTCTTACTTGCTGATTATCATTCACATGCCTGTCTTTGAGGAGGCTTGCCCTCAAAGAGACTGTGCTGATGTCATCCATGCATAGTTCTAACTCTCAAACAGCCAGCACGAGAACATCTACCAAGTTAGTTTAAACAGGGAGGTGGGCAGATGTTTGTTCTAACCTTGTATTCTTGTAACACATTTCTGCAGCTATTTTACCATGGATTATTTAGCTCCTCAAACCAAATTCCCTTTGCATCTCTAGTAAAGAAGGCTGATATCCCAGGCTAAGTGTGTCAAGGGGGTCCACCCCAGGGGCAACTTGATCTTGAGCTATAATGATGTCCAGTCATCTTGCTAGGCCATCTCACAGCCCAGTTCATCACACTCACAGAAGCAACCTAAGCCACCTCCCAGCAATCATGGTCAGAGAGTACTTGTGACACAGAAATATACCTGTTTAAATTCAACACTATTTTCCAATAACCAAAACAGATAGCAGGTGTGAAGTTTGATCAGGTCTGCCAATGTGGACTTTAAGCATCCCTAGCCTCCATCCTTGTTGCCTTAAAATTCAAATACTTTCTTAGCTCCTCAAATTATATTATTGTAAAAGGATATGAACCAAAAAAAGAAATAAGAAAAAATCAATCAAACCCTTCCAAGGTATATTCCTAGATGCTTCTAAAAGGAAAGAATTCAGTGTAAATATTAACACCCTACTAGATGAAGGTGTACATTAAGAATAAATGTTGGGATGGGCATAAGAGGAAAAGAATAAGAGCAGACCCCTCAGAGAGTGCAGCCAGGTTTAAAAATAATTCTAAGCAGGTTGTCAGCAAATCAATTAAAGAAAATATTAAGCTCCAAATATGGCTCTTTGCACAGCCTGCTCAAGGTAACGTCATGCCTTATTGCTATGATTTCAAGATTCATGGAGCAATTGTTTATGATCAGAGATGCCCCAGCAGCCCTAAATGAATGCCTCCCAGATGGGTGCAGTGTCCAGAATGACAGGTGAAGGTGGGGATCCAACCCTTTTCTTCTTTCTTGGATTACTTTAAAACTATTTATACTAAGATATGGTTTGAACTCTCTTTTCTTCTCTTACCCAATTCCTTTCTTAAATAAAGACAACTTCCCTTTTTGAAAAATACAAAAATACAAACAAAACCCTCCAAGGATTTAATCGGCTCAAGAGCTGAGCCAGGGCAGCAGATTCAGGGAAGCTGCGCCCCCTACTGCATGCAGCTGAGTTCTACCGCCCTGCAAAACCGGCCACCTCCAGGCAGAAACATGGGAGTGCGCAGGCGCAGTTTGCCTGCCCCTCAAAGGGCCCAGGCAGGAGTACTCACTAGCCAGGGTGGTCACTGTGTGGATGTTCTCGTCTCCGCCGATGCTGTTGTGAGAAACGAGAAAGAAAACGAAGTTTTAAAGTGACAGCCAAACTCAAACACTCAGACACGAGATAAGACTTTTCTTCTGAATCACAGTCCTGGGGATTCTCCCTTCCCCCATCATTTCCTTTCAAGAACTGGACATCAGGATGCAGCTCCTTTCCTCTCTCTCTTGACACCAGAGCAAACAAGTAAGCAAGCAAACGGACGTACACGTCATGGCTGTTGCTCTTGTGTTTTAAACTCTGAGTCGTAATCTGATGTCGAGGCACAGAGAACTAAGTTGGTCCCTTGCTCTCTGCCTTCCCAATTCTGTGACTAGCCAGCTCCACACCACTTAGACCTTTCACAGGCCATTACTGTTACTAGCTTGCCCTAGTCTTTCTGTTTAGCTTAGAAGAGCTCTTATTAAAAGGGTATCTTCAAGGGAGCCAGCACGGGAACTCAGCTTTTCTATAGCCTCCCTCTGTGCTGAGTGCATCTAAGAACATAGATTCCCCAGATACTTGGGGGTTAATGATGTGCAGGAACATAGAGCAAGATGGAAGGGATTCCATGCTCAGGGTGAAGCTGATGTGAGATTGGAGATACCAGATTCCAGGCAGAGGAAACAGCACCTAGGCCCAGCCAGCCTTCTACCACACTGTGCAAGCCCTGCTCACTGCAGTGTGTGGGTACAGCTGGGTCATCCTCCAATTGGGAACCAGCCTGCACAAATATTTAGGTTTTGGTCAGGAACCAGGTACCCTGCATCTTATTCTTGTTCCATCTGGCTATGCAATCTGTTAGTTGTCCTTTCTGAGCCATGGTCCTTGCTTCATGAAATGAAGGTCAGTTACTAATAATAATGCCTGCTACCACTTAGACATATTTTATATGAAGCATTGTGCTGGGCATGTAATTCTCTCTAATCTTTAGACAATGCTTGGGCAGTATTATTATCCCTGTGGCCAAGATAGGGAGACATCCTCTGGGAGGTTGTGCAACTTGCTCAGGGTCACATGTAGCTGGGCAGCTGCAGCTGGGACACGACTCCAGTCTCAAAGGCTGACATCTATTCATCATTCAGACCTGTTTCCCAAGACTGCATCCCAGAAGGAGAGATGGAAGACAGAAGCATTTCCACCCCAAATGTTTGTGCAATTTCTCCTCCAAACTGCTCAGCTCGCCCCTCCTGTTTTAGGGAATGTAGCGATTTGAAGGAGCTGATGCATACCTTCCTCACATTGAGCCTAGAAATTCATTACAGAAAGTACTAGACAGCCTACCTCCTCTGCTTGAGGAACTGTTTCCTAGAAAGCTTGGGGGTGTTCAGAGCTTGATTGTGTCTCACTCACCTCCAGGACAGACCTCGATACTGAGTCAGGACATCCAAGACGTTCCCAGGCTTGGACCCGGCCCCATTGCCTGCCTAAGAGGAAAAGTAAACAGTGGGTGTCCCTGCTTTCTCTTTGGGCCCACAACTGTCCACCTGCTAGGAGGTCCATGCCCTTATCCTGGGCAGGACAGCCTGGGCGAGTTCTAGCATCCAGATGGTAGTACATCTGGATGTGCTGTCTGCCCCTTCTGGGATATTGGGAAAGTTTGGTGCCATCTACAGCTCTGCCTGTTCCTGGGAAACCTGCCTGGACCTTACCTGAGAGAAACATGAGACTTTAGCATATATTTTTCGAAACGACATATTTTAAAGTCCTGTGTTCACTTTTTAAATTTGTGAAACATCATAGAAGGAAGCATATGCTAATATTTTCATACCATTATAGCTCATGTATGTACAGTTCAAAATTAGCAATAAGATGAAACTATATCCTTACTGGACTAAGAATAGAATCTTACAAACCCAGAATGTAGCCACACACTGCAGGTGCTTTTCCTCCCCTGAAGCACGTGTTTCTGACGTCCTCCAGAGATTCCCCAGGTTATGATTCCCACTGTCTGCTACCCAATCCTTTTACTACCTGTCAGGTATGTCACACTCCAAGTGCTTCCTCCCAGGAAAGTCCTGAGCATATATGATTCTCTATGGCTCTCTGCCCTGAGAACATTTTCAGGAGCCCATGGGGGAGAGGGATGGAGGTGATATCAGAACTCTCTCAGCAGGAAGTGGCTAGAAAACACAGCAGTGAGGTGCTAAGGACCAGTCTGCCAGTCTTTCCCAGATAGTTACACACAGTAGAACTTTTGGGATGGGGAGCTACTGAGGTCTTATGGAGGAGACTGTTATAGGGCTATCATCCTGGAGCCAAGGTCAGGACCCCTGAGTTCTGGGACTGGCTTCAGCACACACAAGCTGGGTGGCTTGGATACTCTCTGTCCCTTCTTTACTGGTTGAATGTAAGGAATGTCAGACTTCAAAGGATTTTGCCATGGGGCTACTGAGTGAGCTAATTTCACTATAAACAGGACACAGTTGTGACCAGGTACCATCTGGTTCTTGAAGAATTTAAACCTGGAGATGCTGCCTTCTAACTGATCCAGGGGATGGCAGCTAGACTCCATCAGGGATGACTACTAAGTGAAAACTTGTCTTTAAAAACCTTTGGGGAACTCCCCCTCCCACCCTGCTTCAGGCTTTCTTTAGGCTTGATATTTCTATTTTTGAAACAGGGTTCCCCTATAGCCTCAGCTGGCCTGGAACCTGCTTTGTAAACCAGGCAGGACTTGACCGCACATCCACCTGCCTCTGTCTCCTGAGTGCTGGGATTAAAGGCTTATACCACGAGGCCTGGCCCTTTGATTTCATTATTTAGAGAATGTTGTCTATGAGGTTTAGAGTGTTACCACTGGGCAGCTACAGAGCTGGGTCTGATCATCTTTGAACCTGCACCTCTTTTACTGACCCCATTTTTCATCCCCACCTCTCCACTCCCATCAGCACTCCCTCCTACCTCATCATCTCTCTGACCCCTCCTGCATAGTTTCTTTTAGCTTTTCTACATGGACAGATGGAGGACTGGCTGGGTCTTTGAAGGTGCTCATGGCGGGAGACCCAGCCCAATGCTGTCTCATCATGGGCATGGGCTGTGTGACTTCTTGCTGTTACTCATGAGTCCCTCAGGGGCCCTTTGACTTCCTGCCCTCATTTCATTCCAGTCATTGGGTTGAAGTCAGAATGGAGGTAGAGAAACATGTTGGGCAAGGAATACTGGATGCTCGGGTGGGCTGGTGGAATGGGGGAGGCTAGAGTTTAGGGCTGAAAACAGCAACATTTATGGGCTAAGAGTAAAACCTCTTCTCCATTTTTCCCTTCAAACTATCACATTCATTAAAAATCTCCTCTCCTAGCTGGGCATGATGGGCATGGCACATGCCTGTATTCCTAGCACCTGGGAGGTGGACACAGGGGGATCAGGCCAGCCTGAGCTACATGGTGAGTTTGAACCTAGCCTGAGCATCACGATACCCTGACTCAAAACTAAATGAATATCTAAATAATGAAACAAAATTTACCCTCCTTTCTTTTAGAGTCAAGGTCACTTACTGTTAGAGAGTCACCCATGGCTCCAATGACCTTGATGTCAGCTGGCTTCAGCCTGTGAACTAAGAAGGCAAATCTGGAGTGAATGGAAAATAAAAATTCCAGAAAAGCATCAGACCTATCGCCCCTCAGTCCCAGGAAAGTGAAAAGGTGCTCAGTTTTCACTGTGATACATCTTACTCCCACCAGCAGCAAGTCCTGGTTGAGTAATTACACCTGTAACAAGAGGCAGCATCAAACTCAATGGAAAGGATGCTCAGAGGGATCCCAGCTCTTGTTTCCTTCCATGGAGATGTCCTGGTCACCTCTTTCATACCTGAAGAATGGAGCTGCCTCTCCCACTGAGGACTTGCTCTCACCGAAGAGGAAAAGTCCCTGCTGCCTCCTTAGACAGGATGCAAACTAACACGTCACATATGGTTATGAATGTAAGCATGTGGAAGTAGATTAGCGGCCTGTAAGCTCGACCCAGCTTCAGAATTGACTGGAGAGCTTGTTACAACATGGGTGGCCAGGCCCCACTGTCAGAGCTTTGGATTCAGTAGGTCTGGAATGAGTTAAAAAATGTGAGCATCAGCCAGGTGTGGTGGAGCACACCTTTAGTCCCAGCACCCAGGAGGCAGAGGCAGGCGGGATTTCTGAGTTCAAGGCCAGCTTGGTCTACATAGTAAGTTCCAGGCCAGCTGGGGCTACAGGGAGACCCTGTCTCAAAAAAATAAAAAAAAAAAAAAAAAAAGTGCCAAACAAACTCCTGCGGCCCTGTTGATGCTGCTAGTTTTGTCTGAGTACCACATTTTGAGAACTACTGAGAAAGACACTTTTTCATTTTGAAGCTGTTGATAGTGGTCCACTTCTGTACTTATAGGAGAAAAGACAAAAGCAATTTCTCCCAGGTCAATGTACAAATTGTCTCTTGGCTCACACAACTGTGGCTGCCATTGCAAAGCTTGGTTGCGAATTTGGGCAGCCTTGTCTCTTGGATTCTAGAGCTGCTAAGTGTCTTTTTTTATAGTCATTTTTCCTCCTCTGTCATTGTGTCTTAAATTCACCACACACATGCGCACTCATACATATACCCTTTTACGTGATTATAGCCTGCTTGGCCTTTCCCAGCCTTCCAGCTATGCTATGTGCTTACAAGAACAATATCAAATCACAAACCCAGCTGCGCACATCAGCACATGCCTTCAGGCTGAGAATGGGAACTTTAAAATGACCTCTTCTCAAAGAAATCAGGCTAGGCAATGGGATGGAAAATAAGACCCCCTTCCCTCAACTCTATAGTGGTTTATTTTAACTCCTGGTGATGACAATCACTGTATTCTTACTGTCACTGTATTCTTACTTTGAATTCTCTGAACACTAGCTAGTTATGCAAAGGTTAGGGAAATCTTTGGAGCCGATATGTGGAAAAGATGGTCTGATCCACCTCCAAAGCCTCATTATTATGGGCTGATAAAAAAGCGGCCCAGTGGGTTGGACATGGTGACACACACCTTTAATACCAGCACTCAGGAACTTGGGAGGCAGAGGCAGGCAGAACTCTGTGCATTCAAGGCCAGCCTGGTCAAGATATCATGTTCTAGGCCAGCCAAGGCTGCATAGTGATACCCTGTCTCAAAAAATGAAAAGAAGGCCCTCTGCTTCCCTGGGCCTGCTCGACTTGCAGGCCTCTCTCCAACCTGAAGGCCACTCTCTGGGGTAAGTCGATCACGCCCGCCGCACATTGACTCCCCCAGCCTCATTCACCCTCCCATCTCCCCCACCCATATCTCCTCCTAGCCTGGGTCCTGTCCCATTCCTTCTCTTGGCGTCCCAGACACCTGGGGAACCACCACTGCTTCCTGAGCCTTCGCATCCAGACCAACTCAGTCCCTTCTGGGGTCCCCAGGAGCACTCCAGGCCTGGCCCGCCCTCACCTCCCTCTACTTCCCTGGGCCTGCACAACCGGCCAGCCTTGTTCCTGGACTGGGCTGACCTTTCCTTTTCCAGATCCTTTGCATCCAAACCAACCCAGCTCCTCAGTGCAGTCCCCAGGAGTCCTTGGGGGCCACTTCAGGCCCCTATCTTCCTTTGCATCTCTGGGTGGCACGGCCACCAGCTGCCCTAGATCAGCATCTTTCCTGGGCCTGGCTCCCAGGCCAGTCCAACCCCCAAATTCCTGAGGCCACCTGGGCCCTGCTCCCAGGCCAGTCCAACCCTCAATTTCCTGAATTCAATATCTCTCCTGGAGGGATACAGACCTTAGGAGAAAGCCTGAGAGCATCTGATCCTCAGCTGACTTGGGCTTTTGTGGGACTTCCTGAAGACAAAAGCAATCTGGCCACTCCAATATAAAATCAAAAGAGAGGACAGGAAGCTTAGCTGAACCAGCTTTTCAGGCCCAAAAAGTAAACCACAAAGGCACATAAATTTTACAAAAAGAAGCAGACCTAAACTTGAAGGCTTGAATCTCATGCAAGAATCAAACTACAAAAGAAATTCACATGTCAAAATCACAGAGAAAAAATAACATGAAAAACAAAAATAACATTTCCACACCAAATACCAATAGTCCTCTAGAGGAGTACAATGAGAACCACCTGGAGATAATGCAGGACACAGAACTCGAAAGAACAATTATAAACATGATAAAAGAATTCAGTGAATTTAAAGAACACACAAAGAAATTAAAGAACTGAAAGAAGATATGGATAAACTTCTGAATGAATTCAGAAAAGAATTAGAAATATT